TCTATCTGACAAGGCCTAACCTCCCGCAAGGGAACAAAATGTGCCAAAATTCCACTCTAAGGACAGTCTCCTAATCAGAGTCATTGCAAATCCCACTAATTGCAGGAGCCATCCTTTAACCAGAATACCGCCTAGCAGCGATATGACCCAAATGACAGTCGAGTGCCCCAGACAGACGTGCACTTTCAAAGGTCTCTTGTACTTAAAGCGCCGTACATAGTACGACTTTCACAGTGCACGTTCACAAGACTTTCGCATCGCTTCAAGACCAATTAAAACTCAAAAGAAATGAATTTCTTTATTACGTACCTTTGATTTCTATTCTTTGTAAAATTGCGAGGAAGAAGCAGTATATGTCTATGAAAAGTTCAATCGTATAATGGATTTTAAAAAACAAGCGCAAAAGACATCGTACTCAACAAGGAAAGGAAGGAATAGGAGAAGAAGGAATGAAATCTGTCGAACGAATGATAGGTCAGAAGTATACGACGGAGCAAACAGAAGAGAAACGAAATCGCATCACGACCACGAACAGGGAAACGACTCATGAGAACTCAGTTGCACAAGGACAGAACAACAGGGTCTTTCATTTTCTTGTTCGAAAATGAAAATGTTTCTCCTTCGCTAGAACTCTTCGAATATGATGAAGAAAGTGAATATATTTAGAATTGCATAAGACATGAGGATAAACATAAAGAAGTGAAAAACAACTGCCAAAGGTACTGATGAAAGGCTAGACAACGAGGCTATCGCTAAGAGAATCTTCCGAACTTCAATTCTATAACGATCAGCTGTGTACGAAACGAGAAGATTCAGAATCACTTGAAAACATAAAGATAAAGAATAAGTAGATCTCTCACAAGCATGGATGCGAACAAGTAGAATCAAACAACACGAAAAGAAAGAAATCAGCGATGGTTGAGAGGAGACATTGGAAACGATGACATGGGAACTCTTAAGTAATCAATCGATAACCTGTAAGTCTAGAAAGATAGGCGAAGTACAGGAAATCAATAAGAACAGAAGGAGGACAGCTCGGTGACGATAAACGACGGATGAGGAGAAACATAATTAAGCGTTTGCAAAAGAAGATTGCTTCAGGCATCATTGTTTTCCTAATCATTTTGATAGAGAAACTCGCAATGGAGCAGATGTTGTGAGTCACCGAACCTTCCATGAACTGAGCTTTCAACAAGATTTCAAAAAGAATTTAACCGATTTTCGAAGAGATTCCGTCACAAAACCAGAAAATGAACATCAAGTTCGAGTTTAAAATCAAATTTTGATATGAATCGACCCAAGAAACATTCAATTTGATTCAGTTTCGGAGAAGTTACAGCATTTTCCCGAAAAAGAACGACCGGGTCATTTTGTTTTTCACGTAAAAATTATTTCCACGTGACGCGTTTCCGCGAGGGTATATAAGCCGTGAATTTTCTGAATCTAGTCAGTTGGCTGTGTGAGCCGGTGAGGTTCACTCCTCTCTCTTCCTAAAGGTGGTTCCATTCCACCGAGAACCGCTCAGAACGGTTGCACTTCCACCACAACCGTCCAGGACGGTTTCTGAACCTCTAACAGTTCAGTAGGCTCCTGAATATTAAGTGCGCCAAAACCATTGAGAAAAAATAAGAATACTAATTTTGTGTGAAAATGCATTAATGAGGTAGTACCCAATTAGATTTCAAGCAACCAAATGTATTACAAAGACTTTGTATAATTTGTTTGCAACAGACGATTGCTGTACCGTTTCGGTGTAATCGAAACAGTATACGAAATAACAGAGCTCTACCCTCTACTTACTCGCGGTGTAGATTCGGGGTCAGTTGCTTTTCTTGAACAATCCATGCATGGCCCAGCGTCTCGAATGTCAACTGAACATGAGAATGAAAATAGGAAAAATATATGAGGGTTGTAGCGAACAATCACATATACCAGAAGAAATACAAAACATGATTTGTAATTAAGCCCAAACCAAAAGCTACACACAGATCGTTTACATTGCAAACTGTGTTCCAGAAGTACCTGAGCATTCAAGAGAATTAGAAAAAAGAAACCTCTGGACAGACAAACATTCGAAAAAAAACAACAAGAAGATAAAACTGAAATGAATATAAAATTGGCTAGGAAGAGACGTATATTAGCCATAGAGCACATTTCACCCCAACTCCTCGGTTGTTCATGCTACATTGTGGCTCGAACATAGTGTCACACTTGTTCCTCACTTCATTCATGCCACATTGGGTGAGAGGTACTTCTGAAGTAAAACCAATCTGATAATTAATGTTGTATGTCAGCTGATTCGATTTTTCGAACTCGATGGGAATACTGTGGTATTACATACTGAGGTGAACGTTTACAACTTTTGACCAGCTCAACAACTTGATCATCGTTACAATTGGAATCTAGAACCTCTTATGAATGATAAGATCAGTTGACTCGTCTCGGAATACAAATGAATAAGTTCGTGGATTGTATTGTTTGGAATGTGTCACGAATGTAGTCATTTCTATTATTAATGTCATTGTTATCGCAACCTAAGAGCGTTTAAGAAGGAAATGAAAATTGTTTCCCCAACCCTGCAGCGTTGATTGTACTTGTGGAGAGACGCGAAACATGGCAAAGAAATACGAAAAGCTCAGCAGCTGAGATTGACTTGCCCTTTGAGAGAAATTGCGAGAGTAACTATGACTTAACGTCATAGAGGCTGAGCTGAACAAGCAAAACAGCGAAGCCTCTCTGCTGAAACTAGAGTGTCGATCAGTCGTTTCTCAAGCTTGGTGCTGCTCTATTGATCAAAAGCAATCCACCGGAGCCGTTATATGCAATGGCTTTTTCCATTTTGTCTTTTATTCGTTAGGAAGATGTCTTAAGGCATCCAATTACTTTTAATTTTGTTGATGTTTTCTCCTCCCCTCTTTTCCATATTTCCAAACTTCTTACTAAGCCCTAATAGGTTTCGATACTTGTGATGGTTGGTTATTTTGAAAACTTCACAGCTCCATGTGAAATGGTTATAAAACAATGGCCAGCTTTTTACTATGTCGTCTCTGCTGCTGGACAATGTTATTCTTTTCATTCATTTTCTGAGTCTCTGCATCATTCTATTCGTATGCTTCTCTGAACATGGCATACGACTAGCTACTTAGCCGTATTCCCTTATGTTTAGTCAAGTTTTGCTATGAATTGTTTATTTTTCATCAAATACATTTAGTAGTGCAAGCGAGGATATGAGCATTTCACTTACGTCTTCCTGTTTCCGTCTTTCCGACTTTTATTATGAATTGAATAACTTTACTCAACATACTTGTGGTGTAGTCGGGTTGGACTTCCTTTTTTTATTGGTTGGACTTGTGCGAACAATGTTTCCACGAGCTACCCAGGGACTCGTAGCCACATGATAACTATATATGAGAGTCATGGGAATTCCCAGACAAGTGTGGTCCAACCGGAAATAGCACACGAGCAACATTCTCTAATACTATAAAGAACATTTGTATGAGTTTTTGCTGCAGTTGATGAATAGCTATGCCAGATATTTGAGAATGACTTGAAGATGCTTCCGTTTTCTTCTCAAATATAAAGTTTTGGTGTCTTTTTTCCTGAGAGTTGCCGAAACGATTATTCCGCTCGATGGACATGATTAATGAGAACGGAAGAAAGACCTGAAGGAAATGCAAAGAGAGATTACCTTGTAAACAAATGAGCAAAAGGTGTTTCAAGTAGTAAAGAGATGGATGCAGTGAGAGATAGAAGAGAACGAGAGAGCTAATAATGGAGGGATGGATGGTTGTCGTCAGGCCACCAGGGTCAACTCATATACCGACCTAGTGCTTCTTCATAATCTCTTCTCCCTTATTCATTATCCTCGGTTATTTCTTTTTTTCTTTATTACGCATCTCTCTCTTCTTCGCATATTCTTTCTCATTATTTAATATTTCTGGTCTTCATCTCACTCCAGCTTCCTACTAGTACTTGTTCCTATCCCAGAACATATGCTGACATCGATAGCTTTCCTTAGTTGCTCTCCACGAGATCATCTCAACCATCCTATTTTAGGTTACAACCCTTTTGTCTTTACTGAATCGTATTGTCACCTTCTGTAGTCAGCTGGCGTGAAGTGTACGCATCAGAAAAGCTGTCTCTTTTAAATTGCTTGAGTGAAATCTTGTTATACACTTATACGCTTCAGTTTCCTTCTTTGTGCATATGAATATACATGTCGATATGCCTTATGCTAATTTCTCCACTCACCATTCAAACGCTCATTGATTCATTATGGGAGTTTAAGAATTCTAATTCACACATTTTTATAAATTGTTAATGAGAGAGAGAGAATTGTATGAAGTATTCCGTTTCCTTAGAGCATTTCATTGAACGTCTCATCTTGTGTAAAGTATCATCCATATCCTTATACGTCTCTAGTTCTTTCTACGCAAATCTGATTCGTCACCGCCCTTTTCATTTGAATGTTTTTCAAAATTACAAAAAGGGGCGTTTTTATGAAACAAAAACGGAAATGAAAGTCAACTCGTGTTCATCATCATTTAAATTTTCGAAATAGCCGTGAGAAAACCTTTTTTTCACAAACCCACTTCCGCTGAGGCTCATGTTGTGTCTCATTCTTTCTTCAAATCTCATTAAATTGACAAATAGGCGGAACGTGTTTTCCACTTTTGCGTTACCGACCACTACTATTCTTTGGAGCATTCTGTTTGAACAATTCTTATGCTTAGCTTCGTAATAACTACTATTGTCTTCTCACGTCCCCTTAAGCTTGTTCACCTTGTTTCTCAGTAGGATAGCGGAACATTTCGTGTGAGGTCATCCAGCGTACTTACACAGTACCACTTGCAGCCCTTATAGCTCAGTGGTAGAGCGCTGGTCTTGTAAACCAGAGGTCGGTGGTTCGATCCCGCCTGGGGGCAGCTACTTTTGGTTTCTTTCGCATTTTCTTTTTTTATCGTTGTTTTTGAAGTGTTTATAATTTTTCCATTTTCCAGATGATCTTGAGGACTTTACTTATTCTTTTTTCACTCTATGCAGGAGTTTCTTCATTGAACTGCTACTCCTGCGGGGTTTTCTTATCTGCACCTACTGACAATTGCAAAGGAGCACCAACGGAAACTGTTTGTGACCCTGATCATTTAGGATGTGTATCTATAAGCGGAAAAAACACAGTTGGTACTGTCTTTATTGCTTTTCAACAAAGTGCTTTTCAGGACGGAACCTATTATGTTGAAAGGAGATGTGCGGATCCTAGGGACGACTTAACCCAAGGATGTCAAAATATTGCTATTCATGGGTAAATTTATATATTACCATCGGTTAATGATTGGATTCTTTTCAGAATCAAAGCAACTCAATGTTTATGTGACTATGACTACTGTAATGGTTCAAATCAGAATGGATTTCTGTTATCGTTGACATTTACATCGCTGATGTTGATGTTCTGCTATGCTTGAAACATATTAACTTAGCCTCATTGACATTCCTTCAGCTTTTTGTTGTTCTAGTCTTCGATTAAATCTTATCTTCATTTGCTGTGATTCTTATGTACAGATAGTTGCATTTGGCAATAATTTTTTTCTTCGGTTTATAAATAAATTTGGAATTAATTGTGTTTTTCTTTGTGTTTAAGCTTTCTGTCTGGTGAACGTGTCTTCCTCACCGTCGTACCATTCATAACGAAATCTTCGGGCCTTCTTGCTGGATATGCAGCACCTTAAACATGAATGATGTTCATATATATACATATCTCTATGAAGAACCTAAATGCATAGCGAGAGATCTGGTTTGACAATGACATTCTTCTGTTGAATCATTCAGAGGTAAGAGGCCGTGAGGACATTGATAAAAGGCCTGAAAGTTCAAATAGATCAAAAAATGGTTGGCGGAATACTATGTTGTAATACCTGAAGATCTTCACCTCCTTTCAATTCTAGTTCACATCCTTCCGTATGGCACCTATCACAACCTATTTGTTTTCTATAAGCATCAAGGAAGTTATTTGAGTTATATCTGTTGTTGACCAACCGACACGGATCGGAATTAACTTTTACTCGTAAGCCATCTTTTGTCCGACCACATCTTGGACATCTATCAAAATCAACAGAAAAATGATCCATTTGATGAATCGTCCTAAACACATGAACAGCCTTAAACAATATCTTCATTTGCGATCGCCTTAGAATGATTACTTACTTTCTCATAACATCCTCTCAATTTGGCAGCTAGAATGTCAGCAAAAACTTTTTCGCTCATCATATGTCGATGCTGTTCAAGACTACATAATGATAATCTGGCAACACTGGGCATGCATGCTTGTATCACCTGGAATAGTATAGACATGACACTCCGTTGTCCAAACCAAGTAGCTTACTTGTTGTTCGAACTTATGTTTCAAACACCAATTCAGCCAACATAGAGCCACAATAGGTTGTCGAGCATATGCCTGAAGGAAAGAACTGAACATTAAGGTCGATAAGTTCAGAACATACATTTTCAATAATATACTTTGCACACCTAACTTCCAATCCACCAGCTTGGAATCGCTTGCTTAATCTCATACAAGTTTCTAATGTATCATCTTCAAAACGATAATGATTACTTCATGAGCAAAACAAAAACGACTGACCATCAATATCTTTCAGGGCAGGACAAGGGATACAACTCTCGACGAACCAACGGAATTGTGTAGTAGGTGATGGATTACTTAAACCAGAAACAGCAACCTAAAAAATAGAAAACAATGTTTGTTGATATGTACTCATCTTACATATAGGTCTTCATTTCTAGGTGTGGCATTAATCAAATTCTTAAAATACTCTGATGCATGGCATACTTGGTGACGACATATTAAGAATCTTGTAGTCTGCAAATAAAATACGATGTTATAGATGATTGTTATGAATGCATTCAATCAATCAATCAATCATTATTCAAATTTCATATGAGAAACTAGGAAAAATTAAAATTTTCGATATTTTTGTGAGACAATTCGGTGCACAGACACCTGTTGGCGAAAAGATATCAAATAAATCTTGAATGAATCTCGTTGTTCAATTGAAAATTGATTGTTTGATGAGTTGTTCAAAAGAATTTGATAGGAAACATATAAAAGGATAAACAGACTTACGTTTACAACAATCCCAACCGAACATCCTTCTAAATGGCATTGACTGTTTAAGTAATCCAATGTATTACTAACAGCTTTTCGTTTATGTGGTGATTTTGATCTGAAATAAAGTTCAAATTAAAAAGAATAATAAATAAAGGTGATAGAGGTTGCACAGCCGTGTTCGAAGCCCTTTAAACTCAAAATGATTTGAACATATTGTGTTTGTAGCTAATAGTGCGCGTACGTACGTGCACGTGTCATTTGATATGCTAATGAAGACATTGCGTATCGTAGTCAATAGCTTCTAGTTATCATTATTATTTAAAAATTAAGAAAGTATAACATAATAAGTGAGCAGTTGAGTATGAGATATATGATTGATAGGCAATATGAAGTGATTGAATGAGATTATAAACAAAACAATTGCATTTTCACCACAAATACCGATAATTCGTCCGACATGCTGTTTGACAGCTTTTTATCAAATTTTACACAAATTCTGGCAACAAATGTTCAAATCATCAGTAGTAATAATCATCATTTTCATTATTGAAAAAGAAAGAAAAAATAATGAAAAGGAAGCGAAGAGCAGCGACGAACCTATTAGGTTTATCCTCATGATGTCGATGACGTTCCTTACGCGGTGAATATGATCTAGTTCGTAATAAGCTATCCGTTTGATCAAACAATGGTGGCTCAATCATTTGTGATCCTAAATCCTATAATAAGAATGAATGAATATGTAAGTCAGAATTATAATATATTCAACCTTATTTAAATAAAATGAACTATTATCATCTAATCTGCGAGGCTTTGTCGTCTTCTCTATGAGCGTATCAGATTTCTCAGTGTTCCACGAGTGTATGCCAACTGATTCCTATAATGAAAACAAAATAATAATTTTCTTTTCTTTTTTTCTTCTTTTGAAATACAAAAAGCTAACATTTAAAGAGAAGTTCTGTGTTTTCATTTCTTTCTCATCAAAGAATTTAACAAAACAATAAAAGAAGAAGAAGAAGAAGAAGCTCAAAATATAAAATGTTTTTCATGCATCTTCAAGTATGGTACGATTTGCATTCGACGATTTCAACACGGCTCATTCAATTTCATTACATATGTATCATTAGGTTGAAATGAAAACAATCACAAATGATTAGCCTGAATGAGATGACACACAGCATACGACACTTCGCACATACAGCTTATTCTATTCTCATGAAAACGAAAAATGATAACAAAAATGTGCGAAAACTTAAAAATTTTTGTTTGAAATGGACGTCAAAGTGAAAGGATAGAGGGATGATGGCACAACAAATGAGCGATTGGGAAAAGCCATCTCCAGCCACAGAGCAATGCTTTTTGCGTTAGTCTTGTGAAAAGGATGTCATTATTATTTGAAAAATGACATTTTATGTATTTTTTTTTGTTATAAAGCTTATTTTAAAAGAAAAATAATAAAAACATCAGAAGAAAGGTTTAAATGGATATCAGGAGTGAGTGAGAGAGAGTGTTAGTACGAGAGAGATCATGAGAGAGCAGAAGAGAAAGAAAGAGAGAGAAAGTTATATGTTCACTTAGGAAGATCATTCTGAGACGAAGTCAAATCAAAACATGAATTCATTAGTCTATAGTCAATCAACTTACATTACTTTGATTACTATGATGAGCGCTCATACGAGAGCTGTTTCGAGCAACAGGTGTGGGTGTCATAAACGGTGAAGGTGGCAATGGTAACAAGCTGGCGGATGGAGCATACGGCGACTGCAATCATCGTTTTCATATAAATATATAATTAGTTAATTACAAAATCTCTTGAATACTGATGTGTTAGACCTGGACGAGGTAGAGATCCATATATAAGAGATATCTGTTCGCAACTATATCCATTTTGCATATAAGGAGGTTGAGAATGTGGATGCTGATAATGTGCTTGTTGAGGATAATGTACAGATGGAGTTGGAAGTGGTCGTTGTCGTTGCTTAATTATAAGATAAGATTAAACTTCTATTGAGTTGATGTTAAGATACTGATAACAATCTCAAAAAAAATAAATGAAAGCTCCAGCTGTGTGTACCTGTTTCGTGGGAGATTTTGAACGATTCCTTACTTCTACCAGTTTCTTTATAAAAGAAGCCATCTGAAGTCGGATATAGAAGATAACTTTTGATTGTCTAGTTAGTGAAACAAGAGAGTAAAGAGCGATATTGGGAACTGTTTTTTAACAAATTACTAAATTCCAACATGTTTGTCTGAAAATCATGAAAAGCAATGAATAGCAAGTAACAAAACGACTGACGGACTCTCTATGATGTTAAGAAGTGATTGAAAGAGATTGTTCAGTCAGACAGAGGTAGATTCGTGAACAGAGAGAAAGATAAATTGAGAGGTAGAGAGAGAGATAAGACAGAAAAATTGGTCAAAAGCACATCCTGAGACTGGTGGATTGATGGTGAAGAAAGGGATAAATTAAAGAAAGGAAGAAAATGATGGCAGAACACACAACACATGCTTCGTTTCCATCAGTTCGACAACTCCAACATCGATGATTCTTAAGAAGCCCAGCATCTTCATTCTTCTGTTTAGTGGATAATTTGAGATTCAGATGACAATATGTTCGCTGAATAATGACATAAAATGTATTAGATTAATAGATTTTTCTGATAAATTATCATCACAACAGCGTTTTCGTAAGCTCTAACCGACATTCATTCGCACTAAATGAACTGAAAGAGAATTTGAAACTTTGACGTCCATTAATCAGATAAATCGGTGTCTATCTCTGACTATCATTTATAACTTCAAAGCACAACTTGATGTTGTTTCTTAATGAAACTGTTGCGGAATACTCAATGGATTATCCATATGACATCTCTCTCTCTCTCTCTCACTCTCCTTCTACACGTTTCATTCGATCCCTCCAACGTTCACTCGTTCATACCATTCCTAATTCTTCTACCCAACGAAGATGCCAAGGAAGCAGAACATCGTCTCTAAGATTACAAACTACAACAAAAGCGATGAAAACCAGAAAAAAAAAACACTTTTTAGTTCGAGATTTACATCTTTTTCTAAACTTCTGACAATCCAGTTTCATTCAGCAAAACAGCTTATGAGGTAGTATGTAGCCATATATGGAGAAGAGAAAAAGCACAAATGTATTTGATTTGATGATTTTCGACGATTACTTCCTACATCCAGAATTGACGTATATAAATGCTTATTTGGACAACAGTTTTTAGTCATTTTCTTTTTACTTTTTTTTTTGGGAACCACATTCCAAACAACACATGTGTTACGTACCATCCTCTATTGCCACTGATGGTAATAGAGCATTGTACTTTGCGAGACCTTTAATAACTTTCTCTTAAACCTCCGTATTGACACATATTTTCTATTTAAGTGCTGTTTTGGGTTCAGATAGTACATTCCCTTCTTTCCTTCTTTTTTCCCTCAATTTCAAAGTATTTGTTTTGCCTCCAAGCACATCCAGTACACAAAGACTTCTTCGAAACTCGGTTAGTCAGTCTGGTACAGTGAGATAGCGATCAACAACTTACAAAAACCATTTTCGATGATAAAAAAAGCATTCAAAGAAGAATTTCAGCATTTCAACTTCATTTTTATTGTTATTAATGACAATGGAATTGTTATTAAAAGAACAAAAAAAAAGAAGGCTGATCGAGAGAAGGAAACGGTCAGGAGAGAAAACGAAGGGGGAAGATCATCAAGCAACAAGAGACAGAGAGAGAGAGAAGAAAGGGAACTGCAAAACTCAATTGTAGACAAGAATCGAATAAGATAGAAAGAGAGTGATAGAGAGAGACAAACTTAAGGTATTGAAATGTTCCATATAAATATATATATATGTGTATATCGATAAAGACAGACGGCCCTTGCTATGGTATCTCTTGGTTAAAACACGTTCTAGGTAGTGTGTGCCCCACTCTTACATATGGGTTTATCTCCACTCGTATTTTTTGCCTTTCATTTTCTTTCCAACTGTTTTTTTCCATTTTTCTTTTAAATATATTGATTCCAAATAAGGATGTACTTATTCAGGAGTACGTATGAACTTGGCTGGACAGTCGTTGTCGGCCTCTTTCATATGATCACATCGTTCCCTGGCACCTCCCTTGACCAACCTTTCTTTTTTCATCATAAAAACTATTATTTTATAGTTGACGTCATTATTTCTTTTTTTTAGAATTTTCTTGAGTTTTCCATTCGCTTCCTCAAACTTCAAAACCGTATAATGATGTTTACAAGTTGTTTTTCATTCTCGCTATCTCCTTACTTTGGGTAATATGAGATTGCATGTAGTGAGCTGCACAACACCTACGCTCTCATGATTGGAATTGGAAACATTTATATTTCATAAGATCATTATATTCTTCATTTACACCTCCACCCCCGTTACCTTATTTGTAATTTAAGACTATTTCAAGCTTTCAACTCGTCATATCCGGTAGTTGTCTGAGATTTATGCCATTCCGGCACCTGCAACTGCCGGAATTCAACGTTGTTCGTATCCGAAAATCATTTATTCGCCGTCTTATCCCAACAATACAAGAAAAATGTTCCTTCGAAGGGAGTAAGGCTATTTGAGAAATATAGAACTAGAGAGAGAAAGATCTAGAGAAAGAGAGAGAAGGGGACTAGAGACAGAGAGAGAGGGAGTTATGAACTGACATCAGATAAGTTAGTCAAATGATCTTCACGTCTCCATATGATTTCTCGTTTTCATCATGTTTTCACCAAACACACTTCATCAAACATCCTTGCCATTTCTATTCCATCATTATCATTCTCTTTCAACCAACTCGACTAATCTTAACGTTCTTCTTTAAGTTTCATCATTTTTATGTTTCCATTTCATCTTTCTCAAGTACAAAACTCGTTCAGTTGGTTGCAGAATCAAACGTGCTTCATACCTATCAATCTGCACAGCCATTCTTTCTGTAATACATCTACCTTTTTTGGTCAATTTCTAAGAAAAATGATGATTCTGCGACCTTATCATCATGTGGTTCGTTTCTCATTTCATCTTCAAGCAAGCCTTCCGCTCTTTCTCTCACTGTCTTTCTCAATGTCCTTCTTAACATATTCTCCTTTTGTAATTCATAACTGTAAGGCTGTGCCATCCTACATAATAGCTTCTTCAGGCATTTTTTGTTGAAAGTTCCTTTTACAAAAACTGATTTGTGATCTATTCATCTTGTTTTTTCTCCAAATCATCCTACTGACCATCATCACAGATGTTTCAGCATTGTTCTCTTCATGATTCCATTTTCATTCAATCAAGAACTTTCTCACATATTCATAATAGCTAGATCTCAATCGAACATCAAACTCATTGAATAATTAAGAAATGACAAAGAAAATGAACGGTGGCATCGTCAGAATACCTGTTCAACTAGATTTTAGTTCTCAATTGGAAAGTTCAAAAAATAGTCTCGTTTATGATATAACTAACTGATAAGGCTGATAGTAGCATGACATATAAATTCTTATAAATATCATTTCGTATACAGCATTCCTACCTTCTAGTAGCATTTCAGAATACTATGGACTGTCTTTCCCTCTCTCTTAAGCTATACTTGTAACAAACCCTATCTCTCTATTGTTCGAATTTCACACACACATACACTCACGCCCTTACTGTGCAACCGTTCCATGCGTCACATATCGTTAAAATGAAATTCACACACGTGGGTTCACGTGTATGCGAAAAATGACGTCATTAGCATACGTCATTATCGAGATCAATAAGAGTCGTTAGGATGTTATTTTCAATGGCACATCGAAGATGAGCGAAGAGGAGGAAGAAAAAAAATTTTTTTTTTTAAATATAATTGATTTGTTTTGTATTTCTTATTATATTCTTCCTGTTCCAACTACTGATTATGTCGATAAACGAATGCATGAAGAAGGAGAACATAAGAGAGCAGGAAAAGGATGAATTATCTCTCACTCACATCTTTCCTCACAAACAATACCGACTTTGATCTGCTTTTTCGTTTTTTTTTTGCTTTTTTCTTTCTTCATCTTTAATCAAAGCCAGCTGTCATTAGGATAGATGATGAGATCATTCATATCATATTTATAATGATTATTATTATTATTATAATCATAGGAATAGAAGTTCAAATGATAATAGATCAATGAGTATGACCTAACTCACCACCTTATCTACCTTATCTTTTGGTTTTTTCCATTCAATTCCCTTATTCCTCTCTCTTACTCTTTCTTCCTTCATACTTCTTCTTCTCTTTCTCTCTCTAACCTCTCCCTCTCACTTTTTCCCTCTCTGATAAGCTTTCTGTTATTTCTTATAATTCAAATAGACATATCTATGGCTGTTTTGTATGTTTTTTGTTCTTTTTTTTCCGTTCTCAGACGATTTATGAGTTTCTGACGTTTCCGTTATGTCTTCCGATTACTTCTCCTCATATAGACATTTCTTTCTCTTTATTTCATTCCTTCTCTTGTAATTCATCTTTTTTTTCAAGATTTGTTTTGTTTGAATTTTCTATGATGGAAGCTGAAAGTGGATTCCAATCAGACAACAGCCAAAGCCTCCAGAATGACGAAATCAAGGAAGTACGTTGCTCCTTCATTCAACTATTCATCTTACACTCTCTATACTCCTTCTTTACCTAATCTTATATTGTTAAGGTGGACAAGATGATGAGCGACTTATCTCACAAGGACAGTAACTTGAACAACATGGCTCAGGCAATACCAATCAATTGTCATTCGATCTTCTGATTTGTTAACTTGTAGGCTTACTCATCCATAATCAGTCACTTGGGTGAAGATGTTAACCGTCAAGGACTCTTGAAAACTCCAGAGAGAGCAGCTAAAGCCATGCTAGCATTCACTAAAGGATATGAACAGCAGTTAGACGGTAACGATATCCAATGAGATCAGTTATGATAGAAACATTTTGAAGAAATAATAAATGAAGCTGTATTTGATGAAGACCACGATGAAATGGTCATCGTGAGAGATATTGAGATGTTCTCGCTATGCGAACATCATCTAGTTCCATTTTTAGGAAAAGTATGTGTTGATTTCAAAACCCATCTCTAACCAATACTCATTGAAGGTTCACATTGGATATATTCCCAATAAGAAAGTGTTGGGATTAAGCAAACTAGCTCGAATAGTAGAAATGTTCAGTAGACGATTGCAGGGTATAAATTATAACTTATGAAGTTCAATATATCCGTTTTCTTTTCAGTTCAAGAACGTCTTACAAAGCAAATCGCAACAGCAATGGTTCAAGCAGTTCAGCCGACAGGAGTTGCTGTTGTCATCGAGGCCAGGTAATAAAAATCAAAGCTAGAAGAGAGATGAAGAACCTTATGAATGAAGAGAATGAGAGAAAGAAAGAGGAAAAAAACCTTTTATTGCTTTGACTCTTGATTGAAAACAAGTTTTCCAATTTTTATTACAGTCATATGTGCATGGTTATGCGCGGAGTTCAGAAGATCAACGCTACCACCACAACTTCATGTATGTTGGGTGTGTTCAGGTGAGAGCATTCACATGACTTCTTCATCCATCTTAAACTTCCTTTTACAGAGATGATCCAAAGACTCGCGAAGAATTTTTAAACTTAATAAATAAGAAATAAAATAATGTTATACTATGTATACTTTTAATGAAATTAAAGAAAGCGTTGTGTGTTCTCGTCTTCTCATCAGACATTCTGTGAATGATCGTATTCTCTTACTCTTCTCACTTGAACATCATTTCATATGGATATGCATGCTTATTGTAAATTACTTTCTTTATTATTGGGAAATAAATTAATTTTGTACAAAAGTTGACGATTTCCTTAAGCTTTTCTGACCAAGGGTGTAGCTTCACGCTCTGGACACTTGCAATACTCAGCGTCCTTGCCTGGAAGACCGGCTGGTCCTTCAGATCCTTCAGCGCCATCGGCTCCAGCAGCTCCTTGATATCCGATGATTCCTTCCATACCTTTAGGACCTCTTTGTCCAGGACGTGCATCACGTCCACGGTTTCCGGCTATTCCTGGAGCGCCTTCTGGTCCTCTTGGTCCGCGTGGTCCCTGAATCGTCTAATTGAGGATCTCAGCAGAAACAAGAACTCACATTTCTAGGAACAGGCTGTTCAGCATCTTCTCCACGATCTCCGATAGTTCCTGGGTGTCCGTCTGTTCCTGGAGTTCCAGGTGGTCCCATTTGTCCCGGCATACCGGGGTTTCCATCACGGCCTGGTCTGCCTGACTGGCCACGAGCTCCACGCATTCCTCTCATACCTTGAAGTCCCATATCTCCTGGACGTCCTTGAGGTCCTACAAAACAAAAGTTATAAAGCTAAAATGTAATATTTCACTACCAGAAGGACAGGTGAAACATCCTAGAGCCTCGCTGAAACGGGGAGCGTCAGAAGCATCTCCACCATCGAAGCCGTCAATTCCAGGAATTCCATCTACACCATCGGGACCTTGCTCTCCTTCTGGTCCAGCGGGACCAGCAGGGCAAGCGTTTTCTACACTACATTGACACAAGTTTGTATCTGGTTTAGGGTTAAGAATATTGGGAAGAGTTGGAATAATTGCACTAAATTCAGCTTCCTCAGCAGCTGAATGATATAACCATTGTCTAAACAGAAAAAGAAAAGGAAAACCATTGTCTGTAGCTTGTTGGGTTCCAGAAGCGCCATATCCTCCATATTGACGACGAATCCTAGTGCTGGGGCTTCCAGCTCCAAGAGTCATCATTCCGTTCCAAGAGTCATCAGTGATTGACTGTAAGCCAATCAGGACAATTGGGAACAGGCGCAGGTATCTGGACATACCTTGAACATGTTGATATCCTGATCAAGCTCTTTCCACATGGATGTGACTTCTCCATGCAGATAAGCAACTCCCAGAAGAGAAATTAGGAGAGTTGTACCAGATAAGGCGACTGTTGCTGATGTTAAGCTCAAAAGGCCCATAGCTAAAACAAACAGTTTAGTTTGCTAGCCAGAAACAGATTCAAAACAAAAGAATAAAGATTAAAATGTTTAGGCAGAAGATTCGCGCCCACAAGCTGAGAGCAAATCTTATCTTAGACTAACTGTCAAATCGTCTTCCACAAGTTTTTATATGAGAAGGCTTATCGGCGCCAAATGGTTTGATGACCCATTAGAAGAAATTTAGATTTCGGTCCAGCCGGACGTTTGGCTATTCCTCTCCGCATCATAGAAGGACAAGTAAAAGTGGACAAGGTCTCTGACTGAAACATCAACGTGATAAATGAAGACAATAGGAATGATAGAGACAACACCAACACTGTTATTATCAGATGAACCAGAGATAAATCGGAAGGGATGGAAAATGGAGGTCTGGATTTGATTAACAGGCGCGAGAAACTGCTTACGCACCAATGTGATGTTAAAAAGACGATGCTAAGAAGACTTGAAGACAATATAGACGTAAAGACGATTCAAAAGATAAATTGACTACGTTGACGTATAAGGGCATCATCTTCTTACATCCTTACATCGCATGTCATCTTAAAAGCCTATTGTTCCAATCCAGAGCAGACGGACGTTGGCGCCAGTGATTGGCCAAACCAGTATCAGCTTTTAGGTCAGAAGACGGCAAAAAAGGACATTTGAACTAGACCATAATACATATGATCTGCTAAGAAATAATAATTTCTTATTTTCCCTCACTTCAACTCTCTCCCTCTCTCCTCCTTTACAATGTACTTTTTTAAGGGTTAAACCAGGATCCGAAATATATTAAGGATATAAGTGTCAGATCAACATGTATTGTATATTTTCCGTACATCAGCGAGGGAGAAACATACTGGATGTACGGCTAACTCATCTTGAAGTAACAATTTTACTCTCAGCTGAATCCTCCAAGTGTCTCTATAGCAAATTTTAGTTTTTCACTTTCATTAACTTCCGTCCATTTGTATTTTAAGTTTTTCTCCATCACATTTCCCACATTATCATCAAAAACTGAAAAGACAATCAAAATATTTTTCATTTTTGCTTTTTTTTGTTTTAAATTTACAAAAAAAAATTGTTTTTTTTCTCTTGATTTTTGGAGAAAAAAATTGAAAAGTTCTTCGAAACATGGCTTTTGCTTTCATCGGTCTGTCGTGTCGGAAAGATTAGGGAACAAATGAGTTGATCGGTCAACAGCAGCAACTTCCTTACAAGGCGTTCTCGTCTCAATTTGAATTTTATGTTTGAAAACCTGTAAAGAGAATCTGCTTGTCTTCTAGGATGCTTTTCAGGAATTCATTTTTTTTCGATTCTCTTTCGATAATCCGAAGTGTTGTGAGCTCGTGGCAATGTCTTCATTATGATTCTGTCGTAATCATTGGATTGATGCGCGTTGATCAACACAGCGGAATTGCACTAAGACATTGATTGCACCACTTGCACGATGTCTCAACTTCTTTTATAGTTTCATTACCTCATTAAAATTTTCTTGAAAATTGAAAGAAAAGTGAATTATTTTAATGCTTAAGCATGAACGGTACCCAGTTCTCAGTCGAACTTCGAGTTCGTCTCGATGTTTCCACTCGTATGCTTCTGAGCTCAGGAACTCATAGACATTGACGCTCATTTCAACTTCTTGTTTGTTGTTCGCTTCGGTTACTCATTTCTTTCGCAATTTATATACCTTCTTCCTCGTTTCCTACTATCCTCTGTTGGTTTGTGTTCTTATTATTCCTTCTTGATTGGATGTTACCAAAAAACCCAAATGAAAACTACAATGAACATCAATTAAACAAGAAGCGCATATCAGATTAGACAAGAACATGAAGAGCCATATCGAATGGGAATAAACACGAAGTTATGAATTGAGCAAAAACTAAGCGTTTGTCAAAGCAGACAGTGGATCAACTTGAAGAAATACTTTTCACATCTTCAAGTCCTACTGAAACTTTGCACTCATGCGTGATAGCCTTCGATCGGCAATTCGCTGTTACATTCCGCCACGGTCCACATAGTACTCTCCAGTTAGGAGAAAAACTTTTCATTTATAACGTAATTGATCGAAATCAAAAGTTTGAGGTTTTTTTAAAGAAATTTTCACCAATTTTAAGCAACTTTTCAGATGTCTGTTTTCGCTGTATCAACCTCTCACGATGTCATGATTCTGAAGCAGACAGAAAAAAAATTTGAAAGCATTCCTACTGGTTTAGGAAGTGTGTATGGATCCTTTGGAGACTCGGGGTCCGCCATTCTTGATAAAAGGGGTCATTTATTAGGTATAACAGTAACTAATAGCATAATCTGCTCTGGCCTCGAGAACATGCATAGTGATGAAGTTGCCGAGCATCCGATAACGCTCATCATAAGCTGTGATACATTTTTAGGCATAGGGAATATCGGTGGACCAGGAGTAGGTTGATTTACTTGGAGAATTAGTTTATTCGCTGTGTTTCAGATTTCAGAAGATACTTGTAGTCATTATGTAACACACAACGAGCAGGCAGATTGAAACTTCGCTTACAGAGGGGAATGCGACAAGGGAAAAGCTCGAAAAAAACTTGGAAAGTAAAATAACGGAAAAGACAGTTGGACTTTTTGAATGGATTGATGAATAAATTATTTATAAAAATACAAACAATAGTTAAGTTAGTTGACAAAATGAGCCGTGAGAAGGCCATTCGATGAGGCGTGGCTTCACTAATAATCAGATTTGGACACCGAACTACAACTACAAAGAACAATTAGGAAGGTGAAGAAACGCAACGAAATAGAACCAAAGAACTACTTCTTTCTTTTGGGTATTTAAGATCCTTGGTCATCATCGTAAGCGTACCAACCAAGAAGCCGGGCAAATGATATCTGCACTAGTTGTATGAGATGGAAACAGCGCGAAGAAGACAATTTTCAGTTCATTACATTAAAATGAATGGTGCAGACGATTGAGGAGAGGATTGCAAGGCACATAAGTTGATAAATTTCAACTTCAAACTGGGTAGCTCATCAGATGAGATTCGAAAACAGGCAGAATGATTCTGCGAGTGGATCGCAAGAGTAACCTGGAACATGATACCATATTCCACGGAGCATATAGCATCTCGTCTCAATTTGAATTTTATGTTAAAGAACCTGTTAAGAGAATCTACTTGTCTGCTAGAATGCTCTTCAGGAAATAAAAGACATAAACGTTAATAGGCTATTACGTTGTTTTAAGAAACTTCAGTGATGACTTCGATGACCACACGAAAACAGTGTAACATGAATCATCTATGGTATTTGTATGTTGTTTACTTGGCAAAAGAGAAAGAGAGAAGAAAGAAGTCGGTAACGAGGGTACGAGAACTTCCTAATTGGTGGTCTTCACCCATGTTTTTGTTCATCACATCATCTTCAACGAAAATATCGAAATTGTCTGCAAAATGACAGATAATCTCCTTTTTTGTGTGTTTCATCTTGTTTGGAAAGACGAAATGGAAAAGATAACACAAAAAGCTATTGGATATCAATTTATTAAACGGAAAGTTGTTTGTGTTGATGAACGAAATATTAGGAAATGTATTATCTTATGAGATCAATTGGAGAATCAGATCATTGAATGACGAGAATATCTAACATGTGAGTGTCTGTGTGTCTGTATACGTCGTGTATGTAACCCTTTTCATTTTACTTTTCCATATTTACGACGAGAACTTCGTATAGCTGATCCATTAACAGCAGGTGTTCGTTTGACTGAAGGAGAGGCTTCTGCAATCATTTAACATATATTAATTATGAGCATATCCCATGTTCTAGTTACCAGATGGCGGTGAGGATGAGCCAGATGATGTTGTTGGCGATGATGGCGGAGAAAATGAATCGGATGGAACTGTTGATAGCCGTTTCGAAGCACGACGTTTATCGGCTGCTGAACAATAGCAATTCATAGTATAAACTTTCAAAAACTATGTTTACCTATGCGTTTGTCTTTCTTGCCCTTAGGGTATATCTGCTCTAATCCTTTATAGTCTATGAAAGAAGGAAATGGTGAAATGTAGCCAAATATATATGAAAAATACCTTTGTCTTTCAGCATATTTGTAGTCAGCTGAACTCGTCGATCAAACTGTTCCATATGATCGATAGTGGAAACAAGACGTTGAACAGTCGCATAAACTATAACTCAAACATATAATCTATATGAGTAGAATGACTAGAACCAACCTATTCTTTCATCTTCTGATAATCCTTTAGTCACTTGTTGAAAGTGATTTCGTTGCCTAATAGCATCTAATGAGGATTCTTGACGAAATATGGTATCCATTACAGCATATATTTATATATATATATATATCAGACAGACAGATATGGTTATAAACAAATCTGTAAACAAACACTTGCGATAACCATGCGCATATCATATGTAAGGCGAATCATGTAATACAAAGTACGAATTGAGATGTTGGACTACTATTCTCTCTCATTTGAACATATACAAATGAATCAATGTGAGCAGATGATGCGTTCCGATAACCTTATATGAACATAGAACCTTAGGTTATGTAAAACATCATTATAATCTCAGCCTAATGGCATCTCAAGCAATCGTCTCTCACATGGAATACGTCGGATGCATATGCAGCGTTCACATGTTCAAATATTAAGAAGAAGGCAAAAAAGAGTTCCCAGTTTTAATAATAATAACAATATAAAACATAACAAACGAATTATGAGCAGTTCAGCTGCAAATGCTTTCAACAGATAGATTTTCATATGAAAGCACCAACACCATCATCATTCATCATCATAATGATGTGAATATGAGAGGTTGTAGTGTGAATGGCAATGTTTCTTTGCAATCAACTCATTTTTCTATTAAAAACTACACACACACATGCACACACACACACATTTTTGATTTTGAACTTTACTGTTCATGTACTATTTATGTACTCGAAGCTTATATAGAGCAAAGCGTATCTCATATGCTAATGACTTGAGAAGAATATGAATGAAGAGCACAAGAATAGAACATATCCAAATGAAAACATCCTTTCCATTTCATCAATTTATGCTCATATATGGCATTTTGACAAATAAAAAACAATCAAATGATTATGAATAATCAAATTTCTTCCGAAAAGAGATAGAGAGGGAGATGTAGAAAGATAGATGAGATATAAGGAGAAGAGAGAGGATGAGACAAACATGGAGAGAGAGTTTACAATTGATTGAACATGATGATGAAATACACAACATTTTCATTTGCATTACGGGTGGCAAATAATGTTGATGAATGACAAAATCCTCCTAATTAGCATAAATTTGAAACCCGTGAGTTGTGCGCGTCATGACGTTAAATATCTTATTTTCAACATATACTGCGGAAGTGAACGGTTGCATTCAAGAAATCTCTCCCTCTATCTCTCTCTATATCTCATATTCTCTCTTTCTCTCTCACTCTTTCTCTCTTTCTTTTATTCCCTTTTTTTCTTCTCATTCATTCTGTTCTCAACTCTTGCTTTCTATTAGTTCGATTCCAGGAAATCCAAACAGCAATAGGTTTAGAACACATTCTATAATCTTTTCTTGCTAATTATGGGCATTGCATCTCAATGCTGTCTGACATATCAAATAGTTTGTAAACTTCCAATTACGGAATTTGAAATATTGAGTGCGAAAGGAATCTGCAGCTCAACCAGTCTTACCAAGCGAAACAAAAAAACTGATAATGAAAGCGAATCTATTGAAATCTTATATACAACTTATTGGAAAATAGAAAATATCATGCTTATTATCCCATTAATGACCTAGTATATCTCGTGGACATGGAGCGGTTTGAACCAAAAATGATTTTTGAAGAAGAAAGGTATCTGTGCACATGCCTGTGTATGCGTGTGTATCTATACCCGTGTACGTGGATGTGTGTGTATGTGTGGTCTCCCCGTGTATGTATTTTGATTCTTCATCTACAGATTAGGTCTTTTGAAAAAAAAATTTATCTGCACATCGCCGTTCATTTTGCTATTCGTTGTTCTTGTCTGCTATTCAAAGACATGAAAGGTATTAAAGCTAATAAGCTCTTCCTGTGCTTATAATGGAAAAGTAGAATTTTTAAAATATTTGATGAGAAAGTCAAAAACATTCTTCTTAAACCAATAGTTTTAGGACAATCAGTCATGTTTTGGAACATTTTCCATCTTTAAAATACTTCAAATAATAACAAAATGATGACATCATTTGTAGTTTGCTGAGCAGCCCACACACACGCACGACTACAGCAAAGAAAAGCATCAGGTAGATGGCCTGAGGCATTTTATGGGTCATTAACTGGACAAGAACATCTTTTGCTTATTTGGAAATCATCAGCTTGATGTAATGATATTCTAACTTTATTACTTTTATATCGCCTTTGAGCAGAAAACATAAGTTGAAAAGAAGAGATTATGAAATGACATAATGAATGATTCAATCTCATGCTAATGGTTCATTGGATGCATATCACACTTCACAGTCCTTTAAAGGTTTATGAACTCATCAATGGTTCGAGAAAGAAAAATTTGAAAATGTCCATGTCAATTAGACGTTACAGTATGCTTTGTGTGGTCATCAAAATATATATTTTCTCAATTGGTCAGTCTATAAATAAAATGTAAAAGATGATCGAACTGACTCTACTGATTATCACTCTTAACACAATCATATGACTTTTATTGCTCTTGAAATTTTGTGCAATTACTATTTCAGTATTGAGTATCGTATGTCTCTATTTGAATGGAGTCCTGCAACGTAAGATCATTGGAAGCGATTCATTGCTTTCAAAGATTTTTCTCAATTCTGCACCCACAAAGCTCACGTCGTGCTTATGTACTCTTATCAATCTGATCATTTGAAACTATCCAAGAAATAAAAAGGTTTTCTTTCTTCCTTTTATGAGCATTGAAAATCTTATAAATTCTGGAAATTCCTTGAATGAGAAGCAAAATCAAAGGAATTAAACCTTTTTGTGTTTTCGAATAGCTTTACATGAGAGTGAGAGAGACAGTGAATAGCTGAGAGACGAGGAGAGAAAGAGATAAAATGGTTTTTCAATGATTACCTTTGCTATAAAACCACTGCATATGGCTATTGCAACATTCTGACAAGTTTGAGGAGTTTGAGGAATGAACTCTCTGTCTGATGTGAACCAAACATGGAGGTGATGAGAGAAGGTGTTGAGAAAGAGAGGTGCGAGAGTTTGAAGAGAGAAAGAGAGAAATTAACAAAGAGAATGGAACAAGGTGAGAAAAGATAAGACTCGAATCAAATAAAAGCCAGTATGTCTGTGCAGTAAAAATCATTCTCATTCGATCAGAAGAACTCTTCTGTAGAAATCTACCGTAATCATTCGCTGTTACCGTTTTTGGAAACATTTTATAAACTCAAAGAACTTCTACTAACTATGAGGTCATTGCTATTGCTTCTGCTATTTTCCGTTCTCATGTTTTCAATTCTTGAAGGTATGTTTCTTAGATCAATCATACACTGAAATACTAAGATGATTCTAACTTCACAACAAGTTCAACCAACTTACATAATAATCTCGGCTCATCAGCTTAGTTATTCATTCTTACGATAGTTCTTTCAGCTGCTCCAACGGACAGAGAAGTTCTGATGTATTTCCTGAACGACTTGATATATGATCGTACTGCTAGGATACCTGCTCGTCCAGGATAACTTAATGGAAGTTGAACTTCAATCTCGATACTCCCCTTCATAATTAGCTTGTTGATCTCATGCTCCCTTGATAACCTAAGTGAAAAAAACAATGAAATAAAGTATTCGTATAATAACAAAGTGTATGCTCGTTTCCGATTGATCATCTAGACGATCATGACATATCTCGAAGAGTTAGTAGGATTGGTGCAGTAGCATTGCAGAAGAACTTGCATTTGTTTATGAACATTGTTTGTTTGAAGTTCAAACTGATAGGTAAACATGTTTTCACGTTTTTCGCGTGAGAAATTTGCGCCAGCCTCTACTTTCGGAAATACTTTCGTTAAGAGCGGTTGCGTTTTTCGATATGGGCCAATCGATAAGATGCGAACGGTTCATGTCCGGAGAGGGTTTGAATGAGAAAAAGGTAAAAGTTGAAAAATGAAATGAAGGTGCTGATGATTCTTGTAAATCCTCGAAACTATGCATGGAATGACAGATGGACGATAGGCAATGTGGAAAGACCAGGTACAAAGGACAGAGTAAAGCTAATGATAACATATAATCCGATGAAGAAAAGAAACATAAGTAGGCTTCTGCTCTAAGCCGGCTGGCAGGTTTTGTTTGTAAAAATGAAATAATTTTTGCCAGTTATTAAGCTACAAATCATAGAAAGAGATAACAACAGTTTCGTTTAGATATTTACAACAGAAATGATTGAGGAATTCAAATTATGTAATTGCTGATAAAGAAATATCCTTAAAAGGCTTGAGAACTGATAGATGGACAACCACAGTTCGTTCTATCTGTCTATAACTCACAACACTTCCGAACATATACTATATAGACAGCTTTGAAGCCTTAACCTTACACAACTTCATCATGTTTCAACGTAATCTTTTATTGACCATCGTTCTATTCACATTGTTACTTCTTGTATTTATAGCTCCTGCTGAAGGTAAGCATATTCATATTTATAATCTTTTACTTAGTGTTTGATCTTTTATAGCTCGTCCAAAAAGAGATCTACAAGCCTTAGAGCGTATCATGAAAGAGATTGTTGAGAATGGCACCGGATCTGCCGGTTCAGCATATCGTCCTGGATAGTACTTCATACTCTCCATTGCGGCTGAACGTCCACCTACATCATCATCGTTTATGCATTATTCGCTCATAATATTATGATTTGGATCTCAATGGATGCTATTTATAATCTGTTTTTCTCATTTTTAAAGTAAAATACAAATTTTAATTTTTAACTCTTTGTTTATTCTAATCACATACTATACTAGTGAAAGGTCATTAGGTGTACAGAGAGTACGGCGGTCAACAAACTCAATACTTCTATCAGCTCCTCTGTATAATCAGAGGTTTTGAAAAACATTCCTTTCCTTTCCTTCTTTACCTCAACCTCATTCTCATACTCTATGTCTCTCACTCTTCCTCACACTCTCACTCTCTGTCTCTCTACTATCTACAACTTCAGTTTTCTTGTTTGTTACGTTTTTGCTTTGAAATTGTACCGATTTAATTCATTTTGTGATCATCACGAATGTTCTGTGATCAAAATAGCTCAGAGGAGTCTTTTGACTATCATCTTTCGATATGGAAATCATTAAAATTCCATCATTGAACTATGAGTTGAATGAGCTCTTCCTGCCATATCTGGAATACCTTCGAGTTCATCACCTTTTTTCGAAATCATTGACAAAAGATATATTTTACTCATTCAAAACAAGAATGTGCTCCATGTGCACGTTCTATCAGAGACTATGCGTATACAACCATTCTGCACGAAATTTCGATGAAAAATGAAATTGTGTTTTGCATTTTTGATTTCGCCTTTGAAGAATCAAAGATAACGTAAGGCTATAAACTTTTTATTTATATTTAATTATGAGATGAAACTACTGAAGTAGTTTTACTCCACGTGCTAAAAAGGATAATTTTGAAAAATTTAATGAGCCAAATGATGAATTTTATTTCTTTATTAGTATTTTTGATGACAACTGACAGTTCTTACAGTAATTTTTATAGTATAGCATAGATAGAGTAGGTGAAGAGCTCACAGCAACAGCATGTTCAATCAACATAGACTATGATATGATGAAAGCTGAAAGAGTCACTTTTCTTTCTTTTCTTTTTTTTTTGTTATTATGTGGATGCCAAAATGAAAGTCATAAACAGGTGTTCTTATTGTTGGAACGTATTGTTTATCACCCTTACAACTGTTTTTTGACTTCCAACATCAGCTGCAGAGATATGAAACTTGTAGAAGTTGAAGAGTTATCTTCCGGTTTTCCTTTTTTTTTTCTCACGTTTTCTTTATGCTTTATCTCAAATCACTTCCGTCATGACGGCTATTTTTGAATGCATAAATGGAATACTTGAGGTGATTTCATAATTTCTGATCAAGTTGTATGCTCACGCGGCTGACACAAACGTGAATCATCTGATGTCTTGAGCTACAGAGAGACATTCATGGGCATAGTAAAGCACTTTTCAATGACATTTAATCAGACATAATGATCTTTTTGCTTTTGGGTTCTATCAGAACAAACCTGACTGTTAAATGATAAGATGATGGAGGCGGGTGATCAGCTAACCAAAAAAATGTTTGACAAGATGTTCTTTCTCTCTGAGTGATAGAGCTTCCGTATGTGTTGGATTGCTGTTAACACAAAATGAAGAATGAGTTCAACGAAACAGCCGGATTGATTATGAAAAGAAGCAAAGAGCTTCTCAACAGCGATGAATGGAGATGGCTTCTGAAGTTTGACGATGTAATCCACAACAGATGACGCAACCTCGAAAAGCTCATACATATGCTTTGAATGATAGAGTTTTTCTTGTCGTTCAAGGGAATTCTATCTTTTCTGCTGTTTCTCTTTTTTCTCTTTATCTTTTGAGTTTTCTTCTTACGCGTACTATGAAGAGAAACGTTTGCTATCGCATGTCCCCCGCAAGACGACAAGCTTACAGAGAAAAACGAGCAGTTGTAATGTTCTATGATATTTGAAGTTGGCAAGATGAAACACAGTGCAATCCGAATTGGAAGTTTTCAGTATAATGAGGAACATGTGTTGACAGAAGATTCTTGAAAGAATTCAAGGTTGAAGTCAAGTCAAGACTTCAACAGATGGAGTAAGCAATAGTCAGCCAGCAGCAGAATAAGATCACTCTTCGACCAATTGGAAGCATACTAGCAAACATATCCGGCATGCTCATGCCTTATAGCCTCAGTGTTCTGGATTTCGAGAATATTTCTTCAGAATTTTTCGGTGGCATAGGAACATTCCGTCTTCCCCTTCTTTTTCTTAGTAAAAACAGTGTAACTGACTTGAAATCTGAAAAAAGAGAGAAAGCGATAGATGAAAAGGCGAGGGTAGAGATCTCAGTTAGAAACTATGGAAGATGAAGAGATATCGAATGATATGTGTAGAGATTGTTATAGAGAGATTTCGTAGGAGAAGAGTTGAGTTATAGCTTGATGGCAAAGCAATATGTCCTAGACATTTCTCTGGGAAAAACCTATAGAGATTATTGTAAAATAAGAGAGATATCTTAAAACTAAAACAAAAGATGTAGGAGGAGGTAGAAGATGAAGAGAAAAGAGATATCTCCGCCTACTTTGCCTCCGGCAACTTTTAGAATCCAGTTGCTAGGATTTTATAACAGCAGCCAACCATCACCATGTCCGACGTTGAAGACGAGGAATATATCGAGGAGGAGGAGGAGGAAGAAGAGCCTCAAGAGGAGAGCGAAGCTCCAGAGGTATGTTAACTATTTCCTATTTAGTTATATTTTGTTTTTTTTATTCTTTTTTCATCTTTACCGTATGATTATTAATTTCTTTGCACCTTTTAATTTTCTCAAAAAATTTTTTTTCAATCTCTATCGGATTACTCGTGTTCGTGTCTTCAATCTGTTGGCGTCATCCAAACAGACCATTTCGAAACAGTTCCGTCTTCTCGCTCTTTGATACTCATTCGCTACTGATACTCAAAAGGAAAACTATCAAAAATTACTCAGTTTCTTTCGTTCGTTCACAAATTGTTCGTTTAAAGCTGTAGAAAGTTGGCAGCCGCAGCCATCGTCTGTCTACCCTACAAACCTTCCCTCCCTCACATTCATTGTGGCGGCGTTGTAATAATGTAGGGGAAGCGTCAGCCGTTTTGCCACCAGCATCTCAACATTTACTGAAATTCAACAGAGAAAAATAAATTCAAAAATAACCGAAATAACTTCTGAAAAGAATCTTTTTGACGACCTAACAAGTTTATTTACACCTTCCCACACATATCTGCTAACAATGCTCGAACAAGTACCAACAAGTAAAAAGAAAAAACAAAAATGTTTTCAGGAAGAGGAGCAAGAAGAATCTAAGGCTGAAGATGATGCTCCAGCTCCAGCCGCTGAGCCCGAACGCAAGACTGTACCACCACCAGCTCTTAAGAGTCCAACTCCAGGACGACAACCTGTCATCACCATCCCTCAATCCGTTCTCAGAAAGTGAGTGTAATCCAATCAACGAACAAAATATGAAAGATATCATTTTTTAGGCAAGCTCAATTTTCTGCTGGAAAGCCATCTAAGCATGATAAGAACAAGCTTATGAGATCGGAAGGAATCATCCCCATCCAAGCTGGATCCAACAAGTATGCTTCCCAAAGAGGAATGACCGGTAAGAATTGACTTTCAAAAATGAAAACGTTCGAAAGATGATGAAAGAAAACAAAAAAACTATAATTTATGGGTCAAAGTATTTTGAAATTTCAATGAAAACAAGATGCGATAAAGGGATTAGTAAGTGGTTAGATAGACAGGAGCCATGAGTAGGAACATTCAAATACTTTTGGGTACAAAGTACTGCTTCAAACTTAGAATGATGAAGTATAAGCTTAACTATAATATTCCTTCCCTATTTGCACTGATAAATAATATAAGATACGATGATAGAACATATAGTGTAAGATACGTGCTAACACCTTTGTCCTACACCTTACCGTACACTCCAAAAAATCAGTTCAAAGTATACAGGTGTTTGAAAGCCTCTTAGAATCACGTAATTCTGGCTTCTTCTACAAAGGCGATAAATGTCCAAAGATGACAAATTCTGCTTACTTTTCATACTGTCAAGTCTAAAGGTTGCATTCATTCTCGTTTAGAGAGACACACCACGGGTCTTTGTGCCTTATCGTAATCTCTATTGAGAAGATGAAAAGCCGACTACCTAGTTCCTAATACAGGGGATTCTGATTATTAAAATAAAAACATTTATTTATTCTTTGTTTCAAGGACTTTTTTTCAGGATTCGGTGTCCCTCGTGATGTTATCGATAAGATCAAGTCTGAGAACCTCCAGGAAATCACTGATGAGAAGAAGATCGAGTCTCTCAAGGCTTCCACCTGGCTCCAATCCGGAACTAACAAATTTGCTTCCCAAAAGGGACAAACTGGTAATATAAATTTATTATATTTATGAAAATAATCATCTGTTCTCAGGATTCGGTAGCGTTCGTGACGTCAACTACAAGACCAAGGGAACTGGAGGAGCTTCTGAAGTTCCAGAAGAGAAGGCTCGTGCCACTGATGGAATCGTCCCCCTTCAATCTGGTACCAACAAATTGGCTTCTCAAGCCGGTATGACTGGTATTGGTATGCCACGTATTGTCGATGGTATGTTATATATCCTCTACATACGTAAAGTCTTATCTGTTTAGTCCGTAAGGTCAACGATCAAGACCGTGACTCCCAAGGATTTGTCCATCTTCAAATGGGAACCAACAGATTCGCCAATCAAGCTGGTATGACTGGATTCGGTATGCCAAGAAGAGAAATCACTAAGTAAGCTGTTTTTTTCAAGAAACCTCTTTTACACTTTCTTTTAAGGTACACCGATGAAGTTAGAGGAGAAATGCCCCATGATGAAGGATCAACCTCCAGACAAACCACCGGATGGAGAGAGGGTTTGTTTCAACTGAATGAATTCAATCTTATCGTTTTTCTATAGGAGCCAACCAAACCGGTATGACCGGATTTGGAGCTTTCCGTAACAACACCGTCGCTGTTCTCCAAGCTCAAGACCAACGCTCTCAGGTAAGTATATAAGTTCTTGAAGCATTTCATTTTACAAATTTTCCAGGGTATGATCCCATACCAAATGGGAGTTAACTTCTTGGAATCCCAAGCCGGAAAGACTGGATTCGGTCAACCTCGACAGGTCTACACCGCCTTTGTCGATGATACCCATGAAGATCTTCCCGCTGACATGGCTCGCCGACCAGAAGTACCCTTCTGGACTGGTCAAAAGGAGTCTGAGCATGCTAACCAGGTGAGTAATTATCAAAATTTCTGAAATATCTCAATGAAATAACAATGCAATAACATATAATGTTCCAGACCGGTATGTCTGCCTTCGGTACTCCTCGTGATGTACGTGGAGAATATGTCCGACGTCTTTGGTAAATGTGAGAAAAGCATAATTAGTAGTCTCTTGCTCATGTTCAATGTATACTAGAGAGATGATATTCCTTGGCATCGATTCTCTTTTCATCAAATCCATCAACTTCAGCCAAAACGCAAACAACTCTGTAACATCTTCTGCCTCTCTCACATTTAAAATACAGTATTTCAACTATTATATCTCTTCCCTTTTATTCTTAAACGTATGAATGAATATGGATTGCAGTCTGTCGAATAGTTTCATTATGAGCAAATAAACTGATCAATCTGTAACATTTCTTCCTTCATTTTTGGCTCGAATTAAATATTTTTATATTCGAAAGTTCCAATTGACATATGACACCTTCGTCTTCCTTTATAGACCATACATGGCTAGTATGAGGCGCAGACATATGCCCGTTGTCATAGTAACTCCTCCACTCACTATGCCAAATACGAACCCAACAGACAACGCATATTCATAAATCGGATATGTCTGAACAGACATCTACTCCGATAGTGGAGTTCACAGGCTTTTTTAAAGCACTTCGACTCTATCATGTCAATCGTATACAAGAAGCTGAGGAACAATGCACAAAACTACTGACCAAAAACCCATTAGATCAGGTAAGCAGTCAACATTCTTATTGCCACCCTCCAGTGTTCCGTTGTATATCAATCAATACTCATCATTCTTATATGCATTACGTACTCAAAACGAAAATAAAACAAAAAATGCGCCTATCACGTATCATATTTATTGATCCGGAATAATCGGGTATTTGGATGTTCAAAGGCTGTGTTCATACTATCATCTTCTCATCTATTAATTTGTAAGAAGATTTTGATGAATGTAAAGTGTATTCTAACTGTTTGCGTAAATAGCTAATCAACTTTTATCTTATTAAACAAGGTGTTATTACTCTTACTTTACCAATTATCAGTCTTATCCCTCAATCACCGTTGCTTTACTTCTATCTCTCTCCATTACATTATGTTTCGTTCACAGAGCAGTTGTTACTCACTGCTGGGGTTTCCCTTCATTTAGCTAGTCAATTGTCTGTTGTAATATTTTTCAGTGCTAGAGCTAGCGTGGGCGAAGATAACATTGCTTAGAATATCGTTGAAAATATATATAGGGGTTGAAACAATAAAGATGAACAATCAATGCAACTGATTATAACGATATTTCTTTTTTATTTTATAAATCGCTCGTTCTGTGCGGTTTCTTTGAAAACAACCGTTTTGCGCTTATCACGTATACAACCGCTCTCAATGCATGCAAAATTTAAAATGGGCTTACCCATGAATTTTCACGTGGACTTTCACGTGAAAATTGCGATACAACGATTTTGAATATCGACGTATGGAATAGAAAAGTGACATGTTTTTCCACTTATCATTCTGAACTTTTTTTAATAGCTGAATGGAGTATATGTTTTCAATTAGATCTATCACAGGCTGCATGGGCATTGAAATTGGCTTGTTTAACTGAAGGAACATATGTTGATGAATTGGAAAACGAGGATATTGGGATAGGTAAGTGTTGATAGATAAACAAAGTAATGAAAGTTTCTTTGAAGCCGAAACGTTCCTTGATCAGAATGTGATTGCTCCGAGTGCTCGACCAGGAACTTCATTCCAAAGACCAGCGACAAGTGCTAAAGGGGCCAATCCTATCTTAAGGTACTGTGTGTCCGAGTGTGTTAATATGAGCTCATTAAAGACCTACCACGAATGGTGGAAGACCTTTATCAGGAGTCGTTCGCCCTATGACGATGACCAGGCCGGGAACGATGGAACAAGTTATTTAATATTCGAAGACTAGATAATCTTGAAATTCATAGGCTGTCCGAACAAGTAGAACAGCAAAAACAGCTAGAGCCATGAGCAGTAGTTCAGCTCGAATGCTTAGATTGGGTACAGCATCTATGATTTCATCGGGAGATGGCCCTTTCATAAACTTGGCTCGTTTGAATATTGATAAATATGCTTCTGATCTACAAGTATTCTGAGAAAAAGCGAGAGATTACAATGTTCCATCTTAAGGTAAACCGTCAACTGTTCGAATATGTTTTTTATGTAGAAGGTGATATGCGCGTGGCTCATCAAGTGAGTACTTATCCTTTCTCCCATTTCAAACAAGATTCTTAAGATAGCTTCTATAGCTACAAAGGCCGCAGAGTTCAACGATTGGTACTGGAAAAATCAATTAGGCAAATGTTATTATAGGTGAATTTTGCCTGACGCGTTTTCTCAAGTTTTTTTCTCTCAGGCTCGGTATGTTCTCTGATGCAGAGAAACAATTTCTCTCATCGCTTAAACATCTACGTCTGGTTGAAACGTATGCGTTTTTGGCTAAAGTTGGTCTTTGATATTTTGTGTCTCTAACATATGAACTAAGGTGGCTTGTCGAGTTGATCAGCCTTTACTTGCTATCAAGTACTATGAAGATGGCTTAGCGGTTTTCCCCCGAGATGTCACCTTGCTGACCGGACAAGCTCGAGTCAAAGAGGTTTCGACAATGAAATCAACTAAATTGTACCATTTAATATACCTCCAGCAATTGAATGAACTTGAAGACTCTATCAACCTGTATAAAGAGATTCTTACTGCACAGGCAAACAACATTGAGGCGATTGCTTGTATAGCTACTCATTACTATTACAATGAAACCCCCGAGATAGCCTTACGATACTATCGGTAGGCTTTGATTTCACTATCTTAAACTCTCTCTCTGTCTCAGACGAATTATGCAGATGGGAGTATGTAATGCGGAAGTTATGATGAATATCGGACTTTGTTGCTTCGAATGCCAGCAATACGACTTTGCAATTTCTTCCATTCGAAAGTAAGATTTTGAGAACATCGTATCTTTGTAATGTCCATATGTGTAGAGCGCAAACTCTTGCTACAGAGGATATCCTGGCGGAAATATGGTACAACGTTGGGCATATCATGATAGTTAGTCTTTTCGTCACACAGTAGTAATGTTCTTCGTGTTAAGCAAAATGGAGATGTGAAGCAGGCTGCTCGATGCTACCGCTTAGCTCTCTCAGCTGATCCAAATCATGGAGAGTCAATGGTTAATCTCGGGATCTTATCCCAAAGAAATGGTTTTGTTGTACCTCTTTCGAAACAAACGTAGGTTCATTCATTTCAGGAAAGAAAGACCAAGCCCGTTCTATGTATTATAATGCTATCTCAAAGAATCCTCATCTGTTCGAAGCTCATTATAATCTGGCATTACTATGCTACTCGGTAACTCTTTTTTTCGTTCTGGTATAAACAGTGCACTTTTCAGACTGGGTATTTTCATGAATGTCGGGTAGAAATAAATAAGGCTCTAGAACTTTTCCCTGATCATCAAGTGTCTCTAGAGGTCAAAGCAAAAGTTGATTATCTTTTCGAATCTGTTTAAGATGACACAAATAAAAGAATTATTTAATAATCATTCTAAACAACCTAACAAAAAAAGATTCTTAGCTCTCGATAATTTCGAGAGGATTTTTCCCCACATGAGGAATAGGTAGGGCTAATTTCGGTCTTCCGTATAAAGGCATAGACATTTTGAATTCCTCTACGTCCTCAATCTCAATCTGGAAAAAAATTAGAGTGGATTAGAATTCTCATTCGATTACCTCTGCATTACTACTGTTTTCTCGCTTGACTCTATCCTTAACGTCTTCTGCGTTATCACTCTTAGAGTATATGACAATTGATAACTGAAATTTGCGAATGTTCCATGTTCACATCATATGGTTACAAACCTTCTTTCTTTCTGGTGCACCTTTGGCTATTTTCTTATCATAGAAGGCTATTACATCATCTTTTGTTAAAGTTCGGAGAACCTCGATCTCTTTGTTTTCTGAAAGAACACATCAGGTATCAGAATGAAGCAATGTGAACCGACTTCTATCAAAGTCATACAATTTCAAGAACATTTCAGTCATGAAATGCATAGCACGACTATTTAAAGTTTTAGGTTTGACAGACAAGCTAGCAATCAATCCATCTACATTTTCGTTGAAATCCTTCTCGGGCATATCAATGAGTGTTTGCTGAAGTCAATTGATCACTATAACAGAAGTAAGAGCTGGAGTTACCCTAGTGCCTTCTAGGAAGGATTCGATTCGTTCTAAAACATAAGTTGGCTCCTTGGGTCCTTGCACAAGCATTTTCAATCCCATAGTTCCGCCTTCAGCACGATGAGATGTTGAAACAACATATCCCAATTGCTCATTAGTTCTGAGTTGTACGAATGCAGGCTCACGGATGAGGTGAGAAAATAGTTTTGTGATGGTATCGTCACGAGTGTTCTGAAAAAAGAAACTGTTTGCAACAAGGAGATTATAAAAACCTGCAAGCCGATTTGGAACACGGCATTCACACAAGATACGTCATGTGTCTTCTGATAAGAACGGTAGATATAATCATGTTCTAAAAATCATAATAGTATTGGGCAAACAAAAACAAGGATGGCATACCGTTCTCCAACATATACTCTCTGATTGGGAGCATTTCGTTTTTGAATAGTGGTCGAGACTTCGTTGAATCTTTCAGAATAGAAGTTACCCTCTGTGCCATAGCGATTGACTCCTTCAATTCAAAGTATAACTCATCTTTGAGTGTTGAACTACAACTCACCTCTTCAGTGCAGTTTCCATGTGAATAGACCTCGAGATGGAAAGCTTTGAAATAGTTTTTGGCGACTTGCTCAACATCTTCCAAAGTAATGCCTGAATAAGACAGTAACTTTCAACGTTATAAGGTGAGACTAACTATCAACGACTGACAAACATTGTTCATCAGTCCAGTACTTTTCCGAAAGTACCATAGTAGTGTACTGCTGAATGTTCTGGTATGGTTGAGAATGCACGTTGTTTTGATATGATCGTTTTAGTGTCTCCAATAATACATTGAATCTCACAGGATCTGAAAGTCTGAACTGAGGCCAACATGGTCCTTCTTCATACCTGGCTTGAAGTTGACTAGAACTTTGAACAAATGCTCGATGAATACGCTCTGCTTTTCGTCATAACCGCCGAACTAGAAAGTATAATCGTGAAATAAACAAAACTGAGACCTAACCGCGATTTGAGTATCAGTAGTTGTGACATAAATTGCACAATCCATTCCTGCTAACCCTGCATTGTAGTTTTCCTCAACTAGTGCATCCTGAACATAGGAAGAGCTCCAAACTCATGGAACAAAAATGCAACTTACATTTAAACAATAGAAGAACATTGTAGATAAAGTAGCTGTTTTAGGACAGCTGGAAACTGCTGGTGAAGTAATGAAAAACTAAAAAGATGAGATTATTCTGACAGCAAGTGATTTGATACCCTGGTTATAAGCTTGGGGACTTGGTACTCATCATCCTGCTTGTGCCATACTCGGGTCCATTGGTCATCATAAACAATACGGGGATGTTCACTTAATTTAAAAAACTATGAGATGTTAATGAATTCGGTTCCAACCTCTTGACTGTATCTCTTGGTTTCAGATCAAACTGGGTGGCAATGTAATTATTCCTTTCAGGGAAATGGAAAACAGGATTCTGAGCATTCAAAGCTTTACGGAAGCCTTCCAATTTATCCTGAGTAACATATGATTGAGTTGATTATTAAACAAAGACTATACCTCAGGTATGTCATCTAAACGCATCTCTGTACCATAAACAGGCTCATTTGTGTTTCCTTCTTGTCCTTCGAAACTCTTGGAAACAACGTAGTACATCATATTGTCAGGATGCAAATGATTTAAAATGTCTTTTATCAGATCTAAAGAGAAGTTGTTTGCAATCGAATAGACAGTCCCGTGTACCTGGTTTGAATTCATCACGGAAATATTTGTAAGTCAAAATGTCTTCGAAGGGCTTATCTTGAAGCCGCACAGATAAATTGGTGGCATAAGTAGATGGACTTTGCTTATCCTGAACAGGATATTATGATTAGGGAATGATGCCGGTATCATACCAAAAACCGGAACTTGGTTTGACAAATTTCTTTAAGCTCATCATGAATCCATTGCTTTGGCTCTTCCTGCTTGATCAATGATATATAGTTCAAAACTAATTCAATAATCTCTTCTATATGCTCCAGTCCATCTGAAAGATTGGAGCTTAACGGAAGTATTTGGTTTAAACAAAACCTGGACTAAGATCCATCATAATATTGAATACATGCATTCCTCTTCCAAGTTCAACTCTGCCGGATGACAGAGAGGATGCCCATCCACGACGTTTCAGCTCTGACAGAATAGATCCTTTGCTTTCATGTCCGATAAGATGAGCTGTAGACATAAATGATGTAACTATATTCTACAATATGCTAGATACTTATATAGTTGCTAGGGCTGGATTTGTACTCCTTGTCATAATCAGGGATAGGGAACACCATTTTGAAAAGTCTTGTATCTTTGATGGGGACAATCTGACAAGAAAAAATAAATATTTAAATGTGAGGAAAGACAATACATGAACGCGTTTTTTCAGTTGTTCTGGGCCATAAGGATGCTCAAGCCATTCTTTCTTTTCTACGTCCTTATTCTCAATTTCGTGGAACTTCAATGAAGCCAAATAAGATTCTAAGGTATCTAGAGATTCTTTACCAATGATAGCACACGACATTCTGTAAGACGGAAACACATGACACGCCATTAAGTTATGGGAACTTACATGTTTGAACTATACCATTTCTTATGGAAATTAAGAAGAGCCTCTCTAGGCTCGATGTTCTGTTTTCTAGCATCTTCTACGAGAGTTTGCTGGAAAGGGTTGCTATGGTTCAGCGAAAAGAGAAAAAAGTAATACCTTGTTACCCGTTCCAAATTTTCCGTAGTCGTGGCCAGGTTTGGATTGATTCCTAAAAGAATGGAAATATTACAATCATTTGAAGGTAAGATAGATACCTGCTAATTTGCAGAATACGCCAGGAGTCCACATTCAAGTTATTTGAATGCTCTGAATCAACAGCACATACCTAAAACGGCCTCATGAGATTACAAAAACTTATTGAATATTACTTCTCTTTCAGTAGCGCTTTCAGTGAACTGTGGAGATAAGAAGAACTGAACGAAACGGTCTAAGCCTCCCTGGAAACGTAAACGACAGTTATTGAATGCTAACGATATGGAACTTACATATAATTCTGATGTTTTGATATCAAAATGATAATTTGTGTGATCTGAACTAGTGAAAGCGTTTGTTCCTCCGCCATGAGAAGTTATAAACTGAAGAAGTAACATGAAGAGACTGTATGTTGTGTCAAACTAACCTTTCCATATTCATTTTCTGAGGGATACTTTTCAGTTCCTAAGAAAAGCATATGCTCACAGAAATGAGCAGTACCGGGTATCTCCCAAGGATCCATAAGATGTCCTTTAAGAAATTCAGTAACCAAAATTGTTAAAGCAACTCATTACCTGCTGCTACATCCATGGCAGCCGCTGATTTATCAGCCGTAGGATCAGATATGAGCAAAACTTTCAATCCATTACATAACTGCAGTCCACGATACTAAATTAGGCAATAGTTTGTCTGAGACTTAGACAAACTTACTTCTCGGTTATCGTTAGGTGATTTGGTTATATTATCATATCTACGTACAACGATATTTAAAGAGGATGCCATATCTTGCTTAACAGTGGAGGAATAACGAAAAACTGGAATTCTATAAGTTTTAGCCCTGAAAATCACAAATAAGTAGACGGACACTGTGTAAACGTATATATAAATCAGTTTAATAAAAGAAATAGAGAGAAGAGTTCCCGAATGGCTGACCTCAGGAGGGGAAGAGTTGAAAAGCCACTGGATATAGATCGAGACGTTGTTTTTTGGAACCACGCTGTGACCTTTACAGGCCCAGACACCATTGACCGAAACATTATTTGAGACCTCCCTATTCAAACTGTAAGGATTTATTCGCTTCTGCTGGATTCCCGAAAGAAAAGCTTGAAAAGGGACTTAAAGTTGAAAAATTCTGATATGAGGAAGTTTATGAAAAAAAATGATACGCAACTACGCGTCAATCGCCTGCTCATCTTGAGATATATGCTAATGAGGGGCCGAGCATAAAAAAAAGAAAAATAAAAATCGATTTTACGTGAATGCGTGAAAATTGAATTGAAACGTGGAATGTCATTTTCACCAACATCAAATCTGGAGAACGGTCGGCGAAGTTTCAATGGCGGAACAAAAATCAATAGGCATTTTCAAGGTAAAAACTCAACATCACTGAGCTTAGGAAAAATGGGAAAAAAGGAATATAGCTAAATTGGTGGGTAATAGCATGTGTCCTGTACAAATCCAAGTTAAAATCAATACTATATTGCGAACACCTGCTGGTATACATATACAATGTTGAAGATTTTTCTCTCTTCTTTTTTTTTTTAAATTCGTGCTGTTACAAATATAAGCTTGGAAGTACTTATGTTTACAGACGCCCATATACATATAATATATGTGTTTTTTTAGTTACTGGGAGCTATCCAACCACTCTCAGGGCAGAAAATAGTTTTTATACGCGAAGGAGAAACAGTAGCAGAGGTTTTCCCCGAATGGATTGAAGAGTCACAGCTTGGAGATGGCTACTATCTACCTTTCGACTTGGTAAAGGGAATGAGCTTCATTGAGTAGTTTATTATGCTTTTCAGAATATCCCAGTCACGCTACCGAAAAGAGCGAACCTCAAGGCAGCTTACAAAGCTGATCCTCCATTAAGTGAAGTATAGTGTTATCAAGAGCTTGCGCAGTATTTATTTTGAAAAATAGATTGGAACTATAGTGTCGAAACGATTAGCTCTAGAGCTTGAGTCAAGACTCAGGACTTCTGTGAAGCATATCTACACATCACCTTCGCTTGCTTCTCTACAAACAGCTCATGCTATTCAAAAAGTATTTCAAGAGAGACGGTAATCTTATTTTTGAAAAACACGAAAATTATAATAATTGTAAATCTAAGGAGCAAAGAAAGCACCATTCGGGTGTCCCATCTGCTTGCTACGAATGGTAGTGCGAAGAAGCATTGGATTGCAAAGAATAGTTTAAAGAATTTTGGCTTTATAGTGGACAATAGTTACGAAACAGGAGAAAATAAAATTTCGCAAACAGTGAGTAACTGATGATAATGATTGTTTGTTGTGGATAAGAAGATAGAGACAACTATGAGCTTATGGATTTCAACATAGCTTCTTTCAGGAGCTGAATCAGGAGAAAGTTACTCAGAACATAAAACAATTCCTGACCGAAATATCTGAAACTACTGAAACGGATACTCCCGGTGAGATAGGATTTGAATTATTTCTTCTGAGTTCAAGTTTTTCAGTAATCATTGTTTGTGATTCGATTGCAATGGCTCTGATGGTGAATGAAATCAGAGGAGAAACGTTCAACTTCCCCACTGAGGCAAAAAACACATTGTTTTAGTTTTTTAAATGTAACTCAAATTTCAGAATGCTTATGAAAAATGCATGAAAATGTTTCCTGCTTCATCATCTTTCGTTTGTGATCTCTGTTTGGAAAAGCGACAGGTTTGTTAATAAGTTGAAAGATATCAGCTCATGTGATTAAGCTTCTCACATCAAAGCCCGATTGTAATTTACGACCATTGACATCAATCGGTATCTCTTGTTCTGTGCGGTATCGTCCCTGATTTCGTCATACTTTCATATATTACACAAGAAAGTACAAAGTAATGAAATATCAATGCGTCTGTTCTGCGATGCAGTTTGCCCATAGTCTTCAAAGTACTGCTTTCTATATGAGAAGTCATTCTGGCCGAGTGGTCTAAGGCGCTGCGTTCAGGTCGCAGTCCTCTCCGGAGGGCGCAGGTTCGAATCCTGCGGATGACATTACTTTTGCCTTTAATGGATATAATTTCGAATATTTATTTTTCTATCCTATTCACACTGTTTCGTTATAATAAGGTTGGGTTGTTATGAAATTGATAAAAACACCAAGATTTCCCTATAATAGTTTGAGATCGTTCAGAAGTGTATAGCATCTATGAGAAAGCTTTCTATTTTCCACCGAAGAAAGGGTTGACTGGGCAGATGGCAGGTCTGACGCAAAAACCAGCGTAACGATGGAAACCTTCCATGCAAACACACTCATGCAACCCGCATTGTGGTACACAGTCCTGTAATAAATGAGCGTATGCTTCAAACTGCTAATAGTTGTACTTGTTTTCCATCGGTACATGTCGTTTCGCAATTCTTCCCGCATGGCTTCAATTCTTCAAAGTTTCCGCACAGTGGAATAGGAGGTGAACTAGTGGTAGTCGTTGGAATAGTAGTAAAGATAGTCGTTCGTGGTGTCGTAATGATTGTGGGTTGATTAACAGGATTTGTCATATAATCTATGAAAATGGGTATTCACTGCATGGAACTAGTCGATATACCTGGCACACAGTGCGCTCTCCCATTGGTAACTCTACAGAATCCATTTATACAATACACAGAATCACAAGGACTTCTTGTAAAAGATATATAATCTCTTACAGTCGAAGGGTTTCTAAACACGCTTTTGAAGGAAACTCAATGAGGCTAGATATACCTCGGCCTGGCTGTTGTTGTTGGCGGTGTTGCTGTGGTTTGCGTGACTATAGAAGTAAAAAACGTGATTTGAAAGTGGAAATAGAAATGTAACCTTTCGCGCATTTTCCGCTGAGAATGCATCCAAGCTGGGTGATATAGTCCTGAACTGTTTTGACTGTTCCTTGAACAAAAGCATTCAAGCCTGAAAAATGAACGTGAGTTAACAAAAATGAAAACAAGAGGGTTGGTTGAACGCGTTCCGTTCTGTTACAATCAAGTGATAGGATAGTATGCATACTTTTGCTTGAGGGGGATGGTGGCTGGAGTATCCAAGGACTGTTGATTTGCCTGAAACATCAATTGTTTTGTTTAGTGCTGTTATATGACTCCTAAACTGTAATTGGGTGTTCCTACTCAAAGGAATTTGAGCACACATAGCCGCAGTTTCAGAAATAGGCTGTAATAAGATTGCTTGTTAGATGAGGGCAGCTTCTCTTTATACCACTACTTACTTCGCATCGCTGATTGGCAGAACATTTGATGGAATTGCAGGGATCGTCTTAAAATATAATATTTCATACTACTTGTTTGGTATTTCAAGTCTCTCACGTTTAAGAATCTGACGAGAAAGGGAAACCCCACGTCGTAGCGTATTCCGATTCCGATCTGAAGGTAAGATTAATGGTTTTGTATGTGATCGATTTATGAGTTTCAACTTACGAGCAAAGTCACCGATAGCACTGACTAGTTGAGGATCGGCATCCAAGAAGATGAAGCTAACAGCTCGTGAGTTCTGCGGCTTCCTAGCGGCGATATTTGGATGAATAGGGTGTGATGTGACTTTGACTGGTTCTCGCCGCTGGGGTCTACTTCCAAATTTAGTGTTTTCCCGCTTTTCTATTGCCACAGGATGAGGATGACGATTTGAAGCTCTCAGCGATGATATCGATCTGTGGAGGTGTTCGATACTGAATCGATTAGAATCTCTCAACTCATTATGTGGTTCTCTGAAATGGTGTGGAAGTTTTTTCTCCGTCGGACGTCTTGGTGGTGGTTTAATCGGAACTGGATGCCGTTTTGGAGGTTTTACGTGTGATCGTAACACATTTTCAGAGGTTGTTGGTTTTGCTGGGGTACTGGAGTCACGAATATTTCCTTGTTCATGTTGAATGGTTTCGATTTTTTGATGAATTTTAGGAGTGTTCGAAACTATTAAATCTTTGGTAACAGTTAAGTTGTCTAGAGTAATTGTACGATGAGTACCCGATGGTACAGGCGAAACACTCTTGCGGGCAGAAGTTTGTTTCACTTCTTTTGGAGGTGATGGTGGCTTGGGAGGTTCCACATTAGGAATTCTTGTAGTCTTGACTGTAGTCCCTTGAAAATTTACAGATCGAAAAATTGAAAAGGGTAACAGATTACCTGGCTGGCTTGTTCTCGGTTGCCTCTGATTCTTTCGTTCTCTAATCTGACTGATTTGAGTTCTCGGTGGGAGAGAAGAAGGAGGCGGTCTTGTTGAAGGACCAGCTATTTTAGGCAAATTAATGTTAAATCAAAATTTCGGTTGCCTAACTTGCTGAAGGCATAGGGATATGTAGATGCATGATTGGACTGTCAGCGAAAGGTTCATTCTCTGGATCAGAAGGTTCAGCAGGAGGTGATGCTGTTGTAATGAAGTCTTTATCCACATTATCGGTTAAACTTCTGAAAGCGGCTGATATGCTAATTGGATTTAGCGTCGCGGATGTTCCTAATTATTTTTGTTAATAGTAATCGAAGGAATAAACGTCTCAAATCGAAAGTATGAACTACACGGATATCACTACTAATTAGGACTTGATGAGAGATCAAACAAGAGAAAACAGAAGAGAGAGTGAGAAAACTGCTGAACAGACGAGAGAAAGGGATAACTTACTCGTCGGCAATACATTTGGGCTTAGGTAAGCACCCTGAACTTTCGCATTTCTCCTCCACGTGTATACACTTGAAGCCATCCACACAGCTTATTACTGAACAATTATTCACTGAAAATAACACAATAGGATTCTTTTCTTCAGAGCTAACGTCTCTTACGTGGATCTCCTGGTACACAGAGTGGCAAAGGAGAAATATTAGAGCATTCATCAGAGAGACAAGTCAGTTTTCTCATAATACAGACGAAGTTTTGAATACAAGGCACTTCATCACACGATCGCCATAGTTCTCCCTGCGAGCCTGCGTTCTAATTTATGACCAAGAAATCTTTGTTACAACAAAAAAATGTTTGTTTTAATTACATAAGTGAGATGCATTAGAAGAATTAGAATGATAAGGATGGTTATAGAAATGGTTAGAATGAAACCTGATGTAACACCTACCGAAATCATCTTCATCTCCAATCTCAACCCTCAAGTCATTCAAATCTATTGAGAGAGTAGGTGACAAAACTTGAATCAGTAAAATAGCAAACAGCAACTGCAAATGTGAATATGAACGATTAGAAAGTTGTTGAAATGATTTGTTGTTTGCCTTTCTCCCTCCTTTGCTACTGATGAAGCAATCAGAGATTTGAAAATTTAATGTTAAAATCTTTTTGTTTGTTTGTTATCAAAATGATGAAATGAAACAAGGAAAAGTTATAATAGATGTTTTAAAAAAGGATAATGGCATACCGTCGGCATGATTTGTCTATCTTTCTGAGAATGCTATTGGAAGTGAAGTGATTGACTGCGAAAAACCGAAAAACAGTTGACTAGTCATCAAGTTTATATAAGGTAATAATAGGGTCAAGAACGGCGCTAGTACGATTGACTATTTGAATTATTTGAATAGTTAGCTAAAACAAGAGATATTAGGAAGATATAGTGAAGAAATAGAATTGTCGACAAGTTACCAACGGATGCATTGACCATCCGACAAACCATTATCTCATCATGAATTATAAAGATTGACGTCTCCCTTTTGAGGAACTATCAGCCGGCTAGAAACGGATACTTCCTTACATTCTCTATCTATTCGGTATATTTTAATTAATTTTTTAATTGCAAAAGCCAAATATCCAAATCGAATTATAGGCACGCATGGCGGCTGAACTTGTCTTCAGATGTTAGAGAGTACATGATTGTGAGAGAGAGCAGGAGGAACAGATAGGATAATCATGTAATTCAACCGATTATCTGTTTAAGACATTATAAATCACTTTCCTTATCTGTTGAGTAATTTCTTTTTGTTTCTTCATTGTGTTCGCCGAGTCAAGCCATGTATGGTATTGAGATTTATTACAGTTGATTATACATATATACATAGTTAAGCTTGGAGCTTAGTTAACCAATGTAGCATTACGCTCACAGATGTAGTAGAAGGAGTAGCTGCATGGATACCAGAAAGTGTACTTTCCAACATCGGTAGATGGGTTGAAGTGAGCAGCACATTGAGAAACAGTGGTCCATCCGTTTGTGGCTTGAGAATATGGCTTGCTGAGCCAGTTGATCTCGTTGATGTCAAGTCCTTCAGCAGAGGTCCAGTGAGGTTCTTCAGTCTCGGTGTTCTTGGATAATCCAGTCCATGTGAAATAGTGTTGAGGAGCATCAAGAGTAAGGAGTTCCTGTAATATATTTTTGATAAGAACTTATCATTATGATTGATGAACTTACGTATTCTTCCTTGGTGTTGGCGACAAAGAGGGAAGCTCCAAGGTTTCTGCACTTCTTTTCAGCCAAATCAAAAGAGAGCTTTTCATCTCTCTCGATGTAGTAGCAGGACTCCTTCATTACTTCCCATCCATCACCACAGAGAGGTGTTTCGATTTTGGGTGGTGAAAAAAGAGCATTTTGAGCAAGGCGGATACGATCAGCTGTGTTCCAGTCGAACTCTGTGGCAGGAGGTGTTGGGGCAGCAGTGGCCTCAGCATTCTTCTCTTGAGCACATGGGCAGCAGAAAATACCAGTAACAGTGATGAATAGAATAAAAGGAACTAGATGAGACATCTTGAGTAAGTCCACAGAAGGAATCTGATGAGTCAACTGAACTCATTGGTATTTATAGTGTTTATGCTAGGCGGAGCAAAGACTCTTCTGGAAAATAGGTCATCGGCACATTTTTCATGTTAGCCTAATAGGACTCCATGAGGATATGGTGATCTTCGATTTCCTGGACAGGACTTAACAGTTCAAAAATCAAAACGCCATTAAGAGTAATTATGAGATCTTAGTGTCAACAATACCTTTTCTCGAAGAGTATTGAAAATCTGGAGAATGTTGGAGAAAAACAATAAATAATTGTTTTTGCTCAAAGAATATTCGTGAATATTGAGATGAACAAAGCATAGCTGTAAGATAATATGAAGATAACTCTGCATCACCTCAACCACAACCGCTCTGAGCATTTCAAAAGCTGCAAATGAAAATGAATAACCGCTGACCGTTCATTGTGTGAGAGAGAATGAAAAGCATCAGCTTGCATACTCAGTACTCTGCTGTTCACGTGAAAGTATATCGCGTGAGACGATTCCTTTTTCCAATAAATTACATAATCTGAACCGTTTGCTCTCTTCGTTTACATGCATTTTTCTTGATAAGAGTTGATTTTTGATATGAAATTATGTGTATATAAAGATAAAGCTGAAGAAGAAGCCTTGAGCTTCTCCATCATTAGAATATGATTAAACTCATTTTTTGTATATTATGTATTTCATTAACAACTACTTATGCTGCAGTTCATAAAGTAGAGATATCAAGTACTGGTTCGACATTGGCCAAGCTCGTTCGGTTTGCTCATTTTCATTTTCATGCTATATGTGTTTGCTTGTTTAAGTAAAGGATTATTACAAGAGTATTTGGCTGAACGAAACTTAGCCAGAACTCAAGTGTTAGCTACTGGTAGTGAACCATTTTTGGATTATTATGATGAATTCTATCTCGGAAAAGTTCTTATTGGCACTCCTGGTGAGTAACCTTATGCTTAAACACAATGATGTATTGCACTTTTAAGCTCAAACCCTTCAACTAGGTCTTGATACTGCTTCTTCTAATCTATGGGTCATAGACTCGAACTGTACTACTCAAGCTTGTAATGGAGTCCCAGCATCTGGATACACAAAAACCAAGTTTGATTCTACAAGGTCCTCAACTTTCACTTCTGAAAAGCGAACATTCACCATTCGATATGGTCTCGGATCATGTAAAGGGTACTTGTCCAAGGATAAGGTCTCATTCGGAGGTTTAACCATTGATGTTCAAGAGTTTGGTGTCTCAACACATCTCGCCAAAGTTTTTGGATCTCAACCCTTAGATGGCATGATGGGTTTGGCATGGCCAGCACTGGCTGTAGATAACGTTGTTCCTCCAATGCAAAATGTACTCCCACAACTTGATCAACCTATCTTTACTGTATTCTTGCGTCGACGCATAGATGATCCTGTAGGTGCTAATGGAGGCCTAATAACCTATGGTGGTTTGGATACAGTCAACTGCGACTCAAAGATTAACTATGTTGAATTGACATCTGAAACATATTGGCAATTCCAAATTCATGGTTTCAGCATTGGAGATTATACGACAAATCGGAAAGCGAAAGCTATCTCTGATACCGGAACGTCATGGATCGGATGTCCAGAAATAGCTTTCAATGGCATTCTACAGCAGACGAAAGCTCAATACAGCAGTAAAGACGAGCTTTACCTTGTACCATGTGATGCCGAACCAACATTGCCAGACCTCATCTTTACTATAAATGATATAAAATACAATATTCCGGCAATCGAATATGTCTTGGATATTGGATTGGGCAATGGAAAGTGTGCCATCACCTTCTTTTCTCAATCATCTGGAGGATTCACACCGTCTTGGAACTTTGGTGACACATTCATCCGTACTTACTGTAATATTTATGATATCGGGCAAAAACGAATAGGATTTGCTTTGGCTAAACAACGTTTGTGAATAAAATGTAATCAATTGGTCCTGTTTTTATTTATTTGTTGAGTTCTTGTGCTCTTTATGATTACGAAAGAGAAATTCATTTTCATGCACCTTTCGTACATCCGATGATGAGTGTGTGTCTGTGTAAGTGTGAATTCAAGAACAGTTATTATCTTATCAGAGAGGATAGTGATGTGTTCAGTGAACGTTTCATCATGAAATCAACAATGATGGAGAATGATTAAAGGGCTACACTACCAACGAAACAGAAAAATATTCAATTAAGAGGGAAAATAAGAAAATAGAAAGAGAGAGAGAGAGAGAGATAAACAATAACGGAAGACAGATCGAATGAGTGACGGAGGGCAAGTAGTTCCATGACTAGAAGGAACTCCTATGTTACTCTCTAACTAACAGATAGAGAGAGAGAGAGAGAGTGAATGAGAGATGAAAGGTGTTAGAGCTCTTTCTTTGAAATGGCTATACATCTCTGTGTATATGATATGTGTGAGTGAGTGTATAGATGAACTAAAAAGAAATTTTTGATACATTTGAAGGTTTTTGGTAGAAGTACCATACGAGATAAATCAACAAATGGCTCTTCAACAATCGAAAAAAGCTATTGAAAGAGAAGAGGTGAGAGATGATGGTAGCCAAATGAAACACATTGAATGAAGAGGATCACCTTACTATTATTGAAATTAAAATAATTTTTATCGACAACTCTCTCTCTCACTCTCTTTCGTTTTCCAGTCGATACTCTGCTCATCAACGTTATTCCATCATCATCATCATCATCATAATTAGTCTCAAGTGATAGTAAACAACAAGCATAACTATGCATCATATACATACATGTACATATATGGAAATGACGATTGAGAAGCATGTTAAGCCAGTTAAGTTCCTTTAATTCTTAACACAATTGCTTTCATTTCCATTGCGTCACAAATCAATTTGTTGTGGATGAGAAAATACAAATTTGTGAATGCTTTTCATTCTTCTTTTCTTTCTCATCGTGTGTTCTCATATGAGAATGACAAGCTTTTGATAGAAAAATATCTGCATTTTCAAGTGATGATGGAGGAGCATGTTGGAGATGATGATGAGCATGATGACTTTCCTTCACACAATCAGTAAGTAAGATGGAAATTGAAGATGTTCGTTTTTAAGAGAGATAGAGAGAGAAGGAGGGAAAAGCACTAGCTATAGATAGATAAAGAGAGAAACATTATGAGGGAGTGTGAAGTACAACACCATAATAGACTGAGAGAGAAAAACGAACACTATCAAGGGAATGAAAGAGAGAGGGAGAGGAGGTGGAGGGAGGAAGTGAAAAATAAAAGAGAAAAAAAAGTTTTTTTATATTCTTCCTTTCAAATGATATTAGATATCTAGCATGTGAGGGCGAATGATTTATTGAATTTGATATCCGTTTACTCACATTCCCTCAGGCTATTTCTCTTTCCTACAATCTCGTTTTCAGAATATCTTTTAATCGTCAAATGATTACTCGTTGAAGTATGATGTCGGTTAAGCATCTGTCTCCTTGCTGCTTTCAATGGCATTCTTATTCCAAATTCATATCTTTGATAACCAAAAAAAAACATTTCTGTTGTACCTTCACTTTTGGCACAGAATGTATAGCGTCAGCTGATAGGCAGAGCTTTTTCACAGATAGATTGAGAGAGAAACAGACGAGACATATGGAGAGAGAGAGGGAAAATGACGAAAAAATGAAAAAAAAAAGATGGAAAAATGAGATGGCAGCCCAGAGAAACAGAAATTCAGCTGAGATTTCTTGTTCAAGAATTGTATTTTCCTTTTTCTTTTCCCCTTTTTGACCAGTTTTTGACAGTTTTTGGAGATGAATTCACTTATTGTGCTTGTTTATGTACATTTTTTGCTGTCAATTTATTTGTTCCAACTTCTTACTCTTGAAAGAAGCTTGAATCATGAAGCATTCTCAACAAGCTGGTAGTTCAGTTCATCATTTGGTTGATCAGTATTCATATGTACTTTAACAATTCCCTCTCTCTCTTCTTCTTCTTACTTGTATCCTCTTTTTATATCCCTCTCTCTTTCTTTATCTCTTTCAACCTCTATCTCTATCTCTCTCTCTCTTTCTCTTTCTCCCTCTCTCTATCTACATCTCCTTCCCCTTCTGAATATTTTAATAGCTTTGTCTCTATCAATAACCACAGGCATTGTTGCTTTATAAGCTTTTTTTTCCGTCTTCCAATACACAATTTATTGACGAAGTTGACCAGACCTCCGAGATCAACCTTTCTCGATCCGTATCGATTCAGAGAGAAAAGGATAGAGAGTTAGCACTGGCACGGCAAAGAAGACTTCTGACAGCAGCTGGCCAACTGCTTCTTTATGCATCCGAACGGACTGCTCTCCCGATTTTACAGCAATTTCTGTCATCTGTATAATCTCTTGGATATCCTTTTGTTCTCCTTATCTCTTTTTCTCTTTCTCTCTCAGCTTTTTTACCTCTCTCTCATCCTATCTACCGTCTATTCGAGGTCTATGACGAGTGAACGTAAGATGGAAGCTGAGAATCAGGTCTCGAGAGTTATAGCCATGGACGTAGAGCTGGATGCCTTCAGGGTTTTGTCTTGCTATTTCCCTCTCTCTCTCTCTCCCTTTTAACATATCTGGCTGATTTTTCTTCGGTTTTCGACTATCTATTTCTTATTTTATACATCTTAAATGCTCCATACTTATTTCGAACTTCCTATGTTCGACATCATCACACAGCCTTACATATTCCCTTCGAACACATCATTCTCTCTATATCCAAGTTTCCTTCTTTTCTCTCTCTCTCTGTCCTCCTTCCTCCTATCAATCTCATCATTTTCTTAAGCAAAAGCATTTCTCATCCTTCACACTACTTCCCAATGTTGTTTTACCTGACTTTCAAATCAAAAAAATCTTTTTTTTCCTCTGCTAATTCATCTTTCAAATCCTTTATCTCCAAAAATCAATTATCTTTCCTAATCACAACAATTTGTCAACATTCACAGGTGTTTAGCCCAGAACCATATTCCATTTCGTTTATCGGCGGCCTCACCCGTTGACTCCGTCAAATTTCATTTACCAGCTTCTATTGTTTTTATTTTCTTTTTTTTTGTCTATTTTTAACACTTTAATTGCTTCTCTTGCTTGGCTCTGGTTAGGCTCTGGCTCCGGCTTGAAAGAACATTTGTTGATATTTACAATGAGCTCCCTCCCTCTCTCTCTCTTTCATTTCCTTACTCTCTCTCTCTTCTTACTTCCTCCCTCTTAACCTTACCAAAGAAAATTTTTTTCTATTTTCATCTCATTCTTTCATTTATTATAATTTATTTTTGCTTACAAATATTGATGAAGATATTGGGAAGTGCAAACGAAATCAAATAAGAGGCCGTTCAAACGACTTGACACTTCCTCTCCTTCGGATAACTTGCTTGTAATGACTCATCAACATGCTTCATCTATTCTATTTTTATATTTAACCTATATATATATATTCAAATTAATAAAAATTTCTTTTTTTTTTCTTTTTGATTGGCGGTCGTTCTGTTTCAATTGTGTTTCTTTGCCTTAATGGCTCAAGTTTCTTGTTCTTCCTGCTCTGTTTATCTTCTTATCTTACAACTTATAATATAAAAAATGAATATTATTCGTTCTTCTTATGGATGTATGAATAGACTTGAAGGATTTGATGATATCTCATTCTAACTACTTACAGGATATGAACTGAGTTGAGATGGCTGATAAAGAGGAAACTGGTGGAGGAGAGCAGGACGATGTTTCCTTTCTACGAACTGTTAGTTTCCATTTTCATTATTTCATTTCCTATCCATCAATGAATATGCTGATCGCAAGCTTTTCCCAAATACATACAAACAGAGAAACAAAAATAAAATTTTAAGTTTTCTAAGCTTCAATCTCCAAATCTTCTCATTAGATATGTTTGAGCAAATAGCTTTTACGGACAGGAGAACTCATGACGTAATTCCATATTCTCCTCCTTCTTCTCTCTCTCCCTCTCTCTCTCTCTTCTTCTCATTTGAATTCAGAACCTCTCTGAATCTTTTCGTATTTATAAGTTTCTCTTCTAAGCTGTTAGATGAACCAATGTCATCATGTACTAAGATTACATGAAATCTTCTCCTTTACGTCGACGTAACCATCACACTATATTCTAACGAAATCACTTGGAGTCAAAACATTTTTTTTTATTTTTTTCATATTTTGGTCATATGGCTTCTCTCTCTCTCTCTCTCTCGTCCTCTCTCTTGAGAATAGAGTTGTGAGTCTTTCTCCTATTTTACATCTTTTTCTCTTTAGTTATGAACAAAAATTTATTATCTGATTTAATTCGTTTCATTCGAAACCTTTTTGTTTCTCTCAAATAACCTCTTTGCCATGCTCTATGCTTGTGTGTTGCGGAAGTTTTATGAGAAACAGCCAACTCAAGTACTTCACTCTCTCATATACGTATGTATATATAATTTCTTTTTTTGCCTTATATACTTAAAAAGAAACAAATTAATCTTCTTTGATTTTGGCTTCAAGTTACATCTCACTTCCTTCTTCCTCCTTGCATCTCTGTCTCTCTCTCTCACTCTCACTCTCCTTCAGTTCCCATTTCCCTCTTATCCATGTTGCGCTTAATTTATTTGCAAAAGAAGCAAAGTAATAAAACAAAAAAGCTGTACGAACGAAGGAGAAGTGAAATAGAGAGCAATACAACCGTTCCACATGGCCATCCAATGAAGAAATGAATTGGCGCGTGGAATGTGTTCACGTGAGCAGCCCATAGAAGTATGCAAATTAAAGATGTAGTGATGAGGAACACGCAATTTATTCAAATTTTATTGTTATACTTCTCATATTTGCATAGAATTATTTATTTTTCATTTTTATTTTTGAAAAAATCTGAAAGCTGGTCATGCTGACCCATAGCGCTTCATATGAAGAGACTCATCTACACATACTCACTTAATGCTTATTCATATTTTCTTGTTGGCCATATATGATCAATTCTTATCATTCATCTGTGGATGATTTATGTGGATCCGCCTTCTAATTCTGAATGAAAATAACTTGAGAATAATCGTCATAGTTTCGACGAAGCGAAGCGTAAACGCAACAGAAACCCTCACTTTCAGCAAAGTCATCCAACCTGCTCAACTCAATATTTTTCTTTTTTCCATACACGCACATAGACTGACACACGCGCACAAGCTAACAGACGACGAAGTTTGAATTACATCCAAATGCGTTCAGTCTATGTGTGCGTTTGTTCTTCTTCTCCAGCTTCAGCTTCTTCTTTTTCTTCTGCTTCTGCTTCTTTTTCTTCTTCTGCTTCTTCCTTTGATTGCTTTGCCCATATTTTAATATTCAAATATCTTCTAAACACATCTCAGCACCAAATCTCTTTATTTCTTTTACTTCTTGTGACAATAGATGAGATTTCATGAGAAAAAATATATTTTATGTCACTCATTTCTTTGCTCAAGTATGATATACAGCGTCGACAACATTCTGAATGTGTGAATCTTCCATTGCTCTTCCGTTCAACATCACCTTGCTGGAGTACGTTGTTTCTCTTACTTGTTTATCTTTTCCTTCTCAACCGTATATACTTTACTTATTCCCAACTTTATTTTCTCTCTCAACCTATACCTCTTAGATTCTCTTTGTTCCTCTTTTAGCTTAATACTTTCTCTTTCCGCCTTCCTTTTTCGCTTTTTCTCTCTTTTTTCCCATTTGATCTATCCACTATCAGTCTGGCACTTCCTTTATCCGTCCAATGCCCTCTCGTTTTCCTTTCCTTTGTCGTTTCTCTTGCTCGTAATTCCCTTTTCTGTCTTTTCGTCTCAATCACCAACCATTTGGTTCATAGCAATAACCAGCAAGCACATTTCAAGCTTTTTCAAATTTTTTTTTCTCCAAGCCTTTTGACAACTTTGATGAAAATCTCTTTGAGCTGTCTTGGAACAGCAGTACTAAGGCTTTCAACCAATACGGCTATCAAACATTCAAAGCAATATAAGGAATGAATTGCCAACGAAGTGAGAAGGAGATATGCCGTTGAAGAGACCTGCAAACCTCAAACTTCATTTCTCTTTCCCTCCGCTCTCTCTTTCCCTCATTCTCTCTCTGTCCCTCTCTCCTAGTCTTGATTCCCAACTCCTTCTGCTGTCTCTCACTTTCCATTCAAGTTAATTCACAAGAAATGACTGAAAATGTTGTTTGTGCTTACCTTTTCTCAAATCAACTTCAGCTTTGCAATTGTTTTAACAGTTTTCATTACTAAGCCCACCTCTTATGCCCATACTAAGCAATGAACTTGATTCATTTTTTTGATTCTTCAAAGCCGAGAGCTAATTGGGGAAGGAAATTGGGAGGGTATTCCTAGAAAGCATTTTCATCTATGGTGGGTTCGTTAAATTTCAAATTTTGTTGAAAAATTTTTTCAAATATCATATCTTATTCACTACTACGAAGCAATTTTCATTTGCATGTCTGGAAAGTCAGTTGAGCTGGCTTTTCATACGACAAATGAGTTGCCAATGAATAGCTTGTAGAAGACATAACGTTTTTTAAATTATTTATTTCTTCTTCACAACTTAATGTTAAAAAATTGTTTTTTTTTTAACTTCTCAAACACCTTATTAATAAATTATTTTTGAAATTAGCTTATTTACCGCTCATGATGCAACAGGGACAGCAATCCCCCTCACTCACTCTCTCTCTCTCTTCATCCATCCCTCACCTCGTCTCACTTCATCACTCATTGACCATATAACATCATCATATGTTTCAATTTTTTTTTAATCTTTTCAAATAATTTGCACTTTGAACTTTAGGCACATTCGCTTCAATGCGCTTTCTCAATAGTTCTTCCCGTTGTTTCACATTCTCATTTACTTTATAAATCTTATAAATCTTTCTTCAAGCGAGCCCCGTTATCCCCGTTCCTTTACTCATATCTCTCTCTCACTCTCTATTCATATGTATAATGCGTAACAAACGAAACTTTGCCTTCTTTGAACATGTTTCCAAATATTTTTTTTTGTTTTCTATTCATTTCTCAACACAATGAAGAAACGTGTCGTCAACTTTCTTTTTTTCTTCCAAACGTGAAGCGTACTCCTATCTTCAAGCTACTCTTGACGTTTTCCGATCCATTTATTTCATACTTCCAGCTCTGCTGGCTAAAGCTAGATTATTCATTATGTTGATTTGTTTTTGTTTATTTTGCTATCCAAGTACGAAACTAATTTGGATTCAAACAATATGATGCCACTCTTGTCCTCCCTCATACTCTCCACTTCCATATTACAATCATATTCGTATTGAGACGATAATGGTTTCATTATCGTTGCAATATCAAATACTAGAAGCGTGTAATACCAGATGCTAATTTATTATTCTTTCACGTAATCACGTTTTACGCCTCCATTTTTACGTGAACAACGTCAATTACGTCATTCATTTAAATTGCTCACGCATTGTGCGGTTGCTTCCACCCTCGCTCTCATTCCATTCTATAATACATCATATTCATGTCGATGTTTTCTTTTTCTGTTCATCAAAACTGCACTTGTTGCAAATATACTGAAAAACCATGAAAGAAGCAGTTAAAAGGAGAAGCATCAGCCTAAGCTCACATTCTTCCGGATCACAGCTTCTTGCCAGCTTCATCAGTAGCTTTTGGTCATTCTCTTTTTTGGTCAAAGAAAACAAAAAAGGAAGAAAAAAGAAACAAAAAAGAATAAGAAAATAAGGAAAAGGCAACAAGAGATTCATCTCTTTCTTTAAAAATAGCAGAACAATAAGACATGTAAGACGAAAAAATGAAAACATCATATATGCACATGTTAAGCTCACAAGCACAGACACATGCATAGACACACACACACACATACACACACATTCACTTTTCTACTAAAAATATCACTATCGATGCGGAGAAAAAAAGATAAAAATAGTAAAATAACATTAAAATGGACGAGAATCGAAAGAAACATAGGAGCAGCTGGAACTGAAGCTTGGCATTGAGTGGGAAATCTGTGAAAAAGGCAATCTGATTAGACGCCAACGACACATGAGCTTTCTCTCAACTCTGGCCCACTCTTCTTCCAATTCTATGCTTTTACATCCAATACTTGAACGTTCTCTTGTGCTCCAACTCTCTATGTCCTTCAGTCTCTTCATTTACATTATATTTCATTGGCTTTTTTGCCTCTTCTTGCTCAGCTTTGTTTCTTTATCTCTTTTCATTTTTCTCATTCTTTCTCTTCTGTTCTTCCATATATCTCCATGTCTTTTTTTGGACAACAAGTCAAATACATAAATAGAGCAAATAGCATAAGCATCAGAGCTTTTTCTCACACCCATTAAGCTTGTATAAATTTAAAGTTTTTACTAATTCACTCCTGTCACTATCTCATCTTAACAATTCCACTTCAACATACTTCTCGTTAAGGAGAGTATTTTCTATCCCCAAAAAGAAAATAAACAGTTTTATTGTTTTGCCTTTTGACTTCTGGATATTCTTGTGATTTTTGCTTTTGCTTATCCCTCCCCCACTACCACCCTCACCCTCTCTCTTTTACTATCTTTCCCTCCTCGTGGCGATTCACAATGTCTTTTTCTTCTTTTCTCTTTATCTCCTCTTATCCCTCCTCTTCCTAGTGTTGTCTACAAGGAGCAGAGAAGAAAAAAAATGAAAGAGAGAGAGAGAGAGGAGTGAAAAATACGGAAAAGCTAATAACTTGTCCAGATTTCCTTGTTTGTATGATTACAATCGTTGTACGAAACAACAAGCGAATGTAGTTTTCAAACTAAAAATACCTTTTATGGATTGCAGAGATTCTATTAAAAAACACTTTTCCATAGTACATTCGGATTGAGGAATAGAAAGTTGCAAATCACATTGAGCGTCCTTTCCTCCCTCACTTTCCCCAAAAGGCTCTTCCCCCCCCCCGTATTATATAAAAAATCTGCTTTGAGCCTTCATCTATCTAAAGTTGTCTAGTTAACTATTCATAAGATTCAAGCTTCGTTTTAACGCTTTAAATTTCGTTTTTGTTAATTTTGAAAAAAAAATGTCTTTTGGTCGATGGTGTGGCTCTATTAAAACAAACCATTTATATACTGCAAGCTCACATCCTGTTTATTAATTTTATAAAAAATATGTTAATTACTGTTTCTCTCAGATTTTTTTTATCAAATTTTCCATATTTTCTGTGTGAAGGTCTCTTCCTCTTCCTCTCTTTCTCTCTCTCTCTCTCTGAGTCTCACTCTCTCTATCTCTCATTCACTCTATCTCTTCCGCATGCTCTTCCTTTCATTTTTTGCTTCTTATGATGATGTTTGTTTGAGGCTTCTTTCTTCAACATTTTCATGAAATTCAGCCTTGTCCATTGTTGAGATGAAGACTTTTGTTGTTTTGTTCAAACTGATTCAACTCAACACTTCATTTCTTCTCTTCTGAAGCTTCAGAATGACTTTTCTCCTTTTTAATTTTCCGAATTACAGCTGAATAGGCGCTAGTTGGAAAATGAACTTGATTATGTGTGAAAATCTTTTTTTAATTTTTTCATGGAAATTGTTCTGATCATTTCCTCCAATGCTCATCCTATGGCAAACTTATTACTTCTCATCTCATTCACTTACGTCTGTTTGACATTCTCCCAGTAATTTTTTGGTTTTGAAATGTTTTTTTTTCTGATGCTATCTATATATACTCGTTCTCTTCTCTAGCGGTCTATCTTGTCACCATCAGAAGTCATCGTTATTCTGTTTATTTTGCCATTTGGCAACTACAGAATGATAATTTCTATTTTCGTTCATCTATTTTTGAAATAAGAGTTGCATGGTGCAATGGAAATTTCATCCATGCTGCTGACCATCTGGCTCGATATGCTGATTCCTCTGTTTTTACTCAAACTTTCTCTTCATTTCAAGCTCATCATCTCTCTACTCAGTGTCTCTCTCTCTCTCTCACTCTCTCTCTTCTAGAGGTTTGTAACGAATAAGATGGAGAATATAAATTCGGAATTAGTACGAGAAGAAATCACAGAAAGTATATTGATTTAAAGAGCTTTGATTGTATTTGCTTCTGATCACAATTTCATCGGCTTCTGCAAATCTCAAACAAACACACGACGACATCGGTGATTATCCAGTTCCTTATTTCGAATTGTTTCCCTTCCTCCAAATAATTTTTTGCTTTTTTGCTTCCTCTCTGACTCTTGACTTGAATTTCGAAAGCAATGATAAATTTTATATTTTCAAGCTTCAAATAGAGTAATTCTTCTTCTTCTTCGTTCACATCCAAAAATCTTTTCCCAGCTTTCTCTTTCCTTCACTCTCACTATCTCTCTTACTTTCCCTTCGCTTCATATCACTTCACATTAGGAACATTTACTAGGCAAATAAATCCCCTCGTTGCAATCGTAGCCGACATCTGAGCCAATGGTCTTCAAATTTTAAGCTGATACAACCTCATAATATTATTTTTGAACAGTTACCGGACATTCATCTCCATTTATGTCCTTTCTGTACTCTCACATTGCTCTCGTACATTCGACAATCATGTTCTTCGAAGATATACTTTTTTAAGCCGATCAGCTATAGATGAATATTTAACCATCCGCTCAGTTAAAGTAGTTAATATAATATCTTGAAAATGGATTATGATTTGCTCCAAGATCTTAATGAAGATCATCAGTATGTAATGAAGGTAAACAGAAAACAAAACGATCAGCATTTTTCATTCGAAATTCCTTTTCTCTAAATCAGAGAACAATCTTCTTCTTTCCAGGGTGATATAGTATGTTTGTCGTGTGTTGCTTCCCATAATCGAGATGGAGTACTCGGGTCTGAACGTGTCTGCCTTTGTACGGAAGGCTTTGGTAATCGCATGTGTACGCTAGAGAATGTATCTGATAAGGTAATATATCCATCGTCAATGACAGCTTTATACCTTGTTAAGGATATTCCACCTGATATTGCTATGTGTATGCTTTACATTGATAATGCCTTATCCATGCGAGCTCTCCAAGAGATGATGTCTTCGGACTCAGAACATGTATGTTTCACATATTACTTAAGTGACATTTCCCTACTCTGCGTATATCTTATAAACACGCCATGATTGCAGACATCAGCTTCGGGAGCCGGCGGTCACAAAACCTTGCTATACGGACACGCTGTTCAATTGAAACATGTCCAGAGTGAAATGGTTTTTTTATTTAAATAATTTGTTTGTTTTAATTAATATTTGTATTCTGCAGTTTCTTGCCTGCCTATCTTCTTGCTCTTCGAACGATAAACTAGCTTTTGACGTCGGAGTTCAAGAAACTAACACAGGTATTACTTTCAAATTATTTTCTTTATATGTTAATTTGTTGCTTAGGGGAAGCATGTTGGTGGACAATCCATCCAGCTTCGAAACAACGTTCCGAAGGAGAGAAGGTCCGAGTGGGGGATGATGTTATCCTTGTTAGTGTAGCGACAGAGCGATACTTGGTAATAGTTTCATTCGTATACCCAAACTAATAAACTCTTCTTTAGCATATGGCTTTCAACAAAAATTATATGGTCATTGCTTCTTTCCATCAAACACTCTGGAATATTCAATCAGTTAGTTCGGGTAGCATGCGTACAAGAAATATGGGTAAGAACTCTTTTCTTTTATTCTCCTTATGAGCTCGTTTGTTCAGGTTTTCTTTTCGGTAATGATGTTTTGCGTCTATTTCATGGTAATGACGAGTGCCTTACAATACCTGAAAACTGGAGTGAACATCCTCAACACAAGTACGTTTCCTCAATTTCGTTTTCTTGTTTATTACTTACACCGTCGATTTGTTTGTGAATAGTTCACGTAACTCACGTAAACTTTTTACGTGAACTTCAACTTTCTTACGTGGAGTCAGTTTCATTCATTGAGTTGTACCCGAGAAGAGTGGCTGTGTCACAGCTGAATCTGAAAATTTCTGGTTAACCCTACTTATTTTTCTTGTTTTCCAGCATGGTCATTTACGAAGGAGGAGCTGCTGTGAATCAAGCTAGATCATTATGGCGCGTTGAGCTAGTACGCACAAAATGGCATGGAGCACTTGTAGGATGGGAACAAGTATTCAGAATCAAACATATCACTAGTGGAAGGTTTGAGTTGCCTAAAAACAAAATAACGTCATTAAAATGTCAGATATCTTGGTGTCATTGAAAATGCTGTACAGCTTTATCATAAAGACAAAGCCGACTTTGATTTAACTGCCTTCGTTATGTGCCAAAACAAAGATCCTAAAAAGCAAATGCTGGAAGAAAAAGAGGAAGAGGGCATGGGAACTGCAACTATTCGTTACGGAGAGACGAATGCCTTTATTCAACACGTCAAAACTCAGTTATGGCTGTCATATCAGACCTCCGAAGTAACGAAAAAAGGATTAGGAAAAGTGAGCTTTTCGTGTTTTGAACTAGCTGTTGAACCACTAACGTTTCAAGGTAGAAGAGAAGAAAGCTGTTGCTTTAAAAGATGGCCATATGGATGATTGTTATACATTCTTTATGGCTCTTGAAGAAGAATCGAAATCAGCTCGTGTCATCCGGAAATGCAGTAGTGTTTTGAACCGATTTCTGAAGTCAGCTTATTTACAATCCATATTTCATAATTTTGTCGTTTTTCAGAGGAATTGAAGCATTGCAAGTCGAAGGCAATCAGTCTTCGGATTGGACAAGAGTAGATTTAACAGAAGTCCTTAAACTTATGGAAGATCTCATAGACTATTTTGCTCAACCACGGGAAGATGAAGGTAATTTTGTAAATATATGCTATAACATCATGTTTTGATTTGTAGATTTCGAAGACAAACAAAATTGTCTCAGAGCTTTACGTTCCCGGCAAGACCTCTTCCAAGAAGAGGGTGTACTCAATATGATCTTAGACACAATTGACAAATTCTCTCAAATGGAGTCTTTACCAGACTTTGCTGGTTTGATCGGAGAAGAAACACATGTTGGTTCCAGCCTCTGACATCAATTTATATGAGCTTTGCAGATTATGTGGGAAGAAATTGCTACATACCTGTACTTACTAGTTGCTGCTATGATTAAAGGAAATCACTATAATTGTGCACAGTTCGCTGCTGCACAACGTCTTGACTGGCTTTTCGGACGCCTTTCAAATCCACAATCAGCTGAAGGTTTGGCTTTCATTCTTCACATCCGTACATGAAATTGACTTCAAGGAATTCTGGATGTATTGTACTGTGTTTTAACGGAATCACCAGAAGCTCTCAACATGATCAATGAAGGACATATCAGATCTGTCATATCGTTATTAGAAAAAGTCGGAAGGGACCCTAAAGTTTTGGACGTGTTGTCTTCATTATGTGAAGGAAACGACATGGCCGTTAGGAGCAGTCAGAACTTAATTACACAATATTTATTACCAGGAAAAGATCTTCTTTTACAAACTTCTATGAGAGATCATGTTAGCAGGTATCAGCCTCTGATATGTTTAAAGTATATTGACTATGTTAAGCGTTATGCCAAACGTTCTTGTTGGAGTAGTGGAAGGCTCAGCTCTGTTCCGAAAATGGTATTTCGAAGCAGAGGTTGAACATATCGAAAGAATGACCAAAGAGGCTCCTTATCTTCGAATTGGATGGGCCAACAGCATAGGCTTCAAGCCATTCCCTGGTTCCGGAGATAGGTGAGGATTGCAAATTCCTTTTCAACGTAATCTTTTTATTGTAGATGGGGTTGCAACGGTGTGGGAGATGATTTCTATTCATACGGTTTTGATGGTCAATCAGTTTACTTCGCCGGAAGAGGACGAAGAGTATCACAGAAAAAGCTCGCCAAAGGAGACATCGTCGGGTGTTGTCTTGATTTGACAGTGCCTGAAATCAAGTATGTCTCAGACAAACTTTCTTTAATTTTTTGTGCATAGGTTCTCGTTGAATGGTCAACCTGTCAGCGGATCTTTTCGAAATTTCAATATGGACGGTTTCTTCTTCCCAGTGATGTCCTTGAGCGCCAAAGTCAGGTAAGTAACCCTAGCCATTGTGAATGCGTGCACATCTTAATTCTAGTTGCCGTCTTATATTTGGTGGAGATCAAGGTAGATTAAAGTTTGGTCCTCCACTAGGCTATTCGGCTGTGATCGAAGCTGTCCAAGGAGATATTCAGATAACAGATTGTCTTCCTTTTGGTGACTTGCCGAAAAACATCTTTTGCGGACCTCATACAATGTTTTCAACTTTGGAGCCCTTTGTTCCTGAGCCAATAGATATCAGGTAGCATTGATACAAAATCCGTTCATCAAATCCTTTTAGTGGAATTCAACTACATCAGAGAGCCATGGAGATTCATCAAAAGTTTGCCGAGAATCTCCATGAACTCTGGGCAATGAGAAAGATTGAGTTAGGATGGAGCTTTGGAGATGTGAGTAGTTTTATCGTTCTTGTTTATTGTATTTATTCGTATTCAAGACACGTTCGGAGATTGGGCGTAAACATCCTTGCCTCACATCATTCGATCGTCTGCCAGCTACAGAAAAAACATACAACGTCACCTTGGCTTTGGATACTATGAAAACAATCGAAGCATTAGGCCATCATTTGATAGTCGATGATCCTCCTTGCCGCCTGAGGCCTGTACGATTAGCTCAAACGTGAGGAGTTTGTCACAAACAGGATAATCCAATTTCTGTTTTTCAGATTTCAACAGATGAATGGATTTAAGCCTCAACCTCTAGATACACATGAAATTGTCTTGCCAGATAACTTAAATCTACTTATTGATGCTCTAGCCAGAAACACTCATAATGTATGGGCGAGAGAGAAAATTAAACGCGGATGGACATTTGGATTGAGCGAGGTAAAAACCTTTTGCAAAGGTTAACATAAGATAATGGAATTTCTATAGTTTGTTGACTCCACGCAAAAGCGTTCTCCACATCTCGTTCCTTACGATCAAGTTGATAATAGGATTAAAGAAGCTAATAAGGTAGCATTGTATAGCATATTTTTTTTTATCTGTGAACAATAGGAATCAGCAGCTGAAAACATTAGAGCCCTTCAACTATTTGGAATTTTCATTGAACCACCTGCCCATGAACACGACGAAAGTATAACTCATTAGGTTACGACTATAATTTTTTGATACTTTTATAGTTGCCGAGAAAGAACTAAGGGCCAGAAAAGATCGAACAAGAACATACAGAGCTGAAGCTACTTATGCCGTTAATGGAGGCAAATGGTACTTTGAGTTCGAGATCCTCACAGAAGGGTACATGAAAATTGGGTGGATGGATGTGTCAGCTTCTCCCGAAACGCAATTGGGCATCGATGATCGCAGTTATGCATTCGATGGGTATGAATGAATCGGAAGGGAAGTCTAATTATCGAAATGTTTCAGTTACTTGGGTAGAAAATGGCATCAAGGACCAGAAGCATATGGTAAAGAATGGAACGTCGGTGATGTTGTGGGATGTTTTTTGGATCTTAATGACAGAACCATTAGTTTCTCGTTGAATGGAGAGTTGTTACTAGTACGTTAAGAATATCTTCGCCAAGACCATCTTTCTTGTATAGGATCCATCAGGATCAGAAATGGCTTTCGACAATGTGATGATCGGTGACGGACTCGTTCCAGCTATGACTTTGGGTAGTGGCCAAAGAGGTACCATTTTCTATTAAGTTTTTTCTTTACTAAATCACTACAGGACGTCTGAATTTTGGTCAACAAAGTAATTCATTACGGTTCTTTACTACTTGTGGTCTCCAGGAAGGTTATGAACCATTCTGTGTGTAAGTTCATCTCATCCATTATATTAAGCAGTTGTGCTCAACATTTATGTTCAGGAACATGTACCGAACAATGCCAATGTGGTTTGCTAAAGAGATGCCTCGGTTCGAGGATATTAGCTCCAGGCAATCGCTTGATGTTTCTCGTATACCTGCCACCGGAAACAGTCCACCATGTTTGAAAATTACTCAAAAGAACACACAGTCAGAAGGAGGTCCTTCGGAGAAAGCTCAAATGGAGTTTCTGCGTTTGTCTTTACCTGTCAAATGCAATGATTCCTTTGTTAAAAACAAGTTTGATAACGCTCCAGTTCATATCGCTAACTCTTTCTTTAAGAGATCGTGATGGTATTCGCAGAGCAATGGCAGAATTCAAGCCACGTTCGCAATCAGTTGTTTCTCAAATTCGTTCACCTGGAATACCAAAAGAATTTGATGATCAGCCTAGGGTTTGTTCAGTTCATCTCTATGTAATGGAATGTATCACTACAGAAATCTTTCTTACGAACAGTGTTGTCTTCAAAAGAAGATTCTGATGACGATCGTTCTCAAAGATCAAAGCAAACTTCATTTGAAGGTGAACATGAGCATGAAGCTCCGGCTATCAGGTGAGTGCTTACAGTCCGAAATGTAAACTGGGATAATGACCTAAAATAGATTTAAAATAGACCTTCTCGCCACCCTAACTTTAATCTCTATTTAACAAAATAGTTTTCGTGTCTCTGAAGTGTTTCCACCTTCCTCTCTTTTTAACGTTTTGTAGTTTGTGATATTTATATGTGTAAGTAACATATAGATATATATGGCTTAATCGGTAACATGTCTTTCAAACAGCTAACTCATACTTCAGCCAACGTCGACGAATGATGACACTTATGAATTTTGGGATGTATTCCTTTGATGAAAGTGTTTTATCCTGGCTACGTCTTGAAGGCGAAGAACAGGAAAAATGGATTCAAGCCGTCAGGTTGGGCAGAGAATTCGAACGTGTTGTGGTTTGTAGAAATGGCTTCTGTTTTCTCCTGATTGTCCCTTTGTTACTTCTGCGCATGTTATGTTTATACGAGCTCTGCATGGCTTCGTTGTTCTTAGCTTATAAGTTTAAGTTCGAAAACGCGTCAATCGTATTGTCGATTCAGTTCAAAGATGAATATTGTACAAGACCAGCATAACATATTATTTTCAGAGAATCGCTCCATGATATGACTCCAGAAGATCGAGCTGCTGCGGAGGAACACTTGAGACATGTAGCTAATGAAAGAGAGAAACCTGTTAAAAAAGGAGGATTACTCAGTAGATTGAGAGATAACAGCAACACTCGCAAAAAGTGAGTTTCAAACCATTTTCTGTTGTAAAGTTCGGCCAAAATTGTTCTGACTGTTCCATCAGGCTTTTGTCCTCTTCGTAGTATAGTGTATATGTCTTAGGGAGAAAGCCGAAAGAACTCAAAATCTCAGGAGTCAAAAAACTAATTCACGTTCATTTGATGCTGGGTCGCTTGAGCCTGCTGATAATCATCCAGTTGGTCATAAGGATGTATTGGGTAAGATTCCAGTGGCTGGTTCTAGCGAACGCGTTGACTTTTAGCTGCTGCAGATAACATGCCATCTACCGGACCGGGACGTCAACTGACAATCAGAAAGTCATCTTTAAAGAAAAAACAGAAGAAGAAAGATCAGAATGTGAAACTCAATGAAAATCGTGGTTCCACTGTCGGCCTTGATATTAATGTTGAAGGAGCCAACAATGAAGGTGACGGTGCTGCCCTGGAGGCCTACAGGGAAAAGGTGAGTCGTTTGATCTAACTTGTTTATTTTCGTTTTAAGGTTGATGAATACTATTACGGTGTTCGTATCTTCCCAGGGCAAGATCCTGCCAATGTGTGGGTTGGATGGGTAACCCCCCTCTACCACTACGCCAATGAAACTTTTGATGACAAGCAAGGAGTTCGCAAATGTCGATTCACTGAAGCTGATCATCAAGGAACAACTATTGACAGGTAATAGTTTTCTTCTGGGAATCTTTCGCATTTCCCGGCCTCCGTACATTTTAAGCTTTTTATCATTTTACAGAGAGCCGACTTTATCCGATAGGTTTGGTTTTTGAAATTACGCACTAGAAACAAGCTTCTTGAATTGAATTCTAATTTTTCTTAACATATTTTGAAGCGCATTAACACTCACATGCTTTCAATTAGGGTGTTATCCACCTAGAATAACAAAATCATATATTTCACTCTAACATTCTGTTTCAGTGTTGAATACCGTAGTTGCTTCATGATGAACGCCGCTGAGCTTCTCACTAGAGTGCCAGATGTGGCAAATACTAAGGTAGCGAAATTTCTTGATTTGGTCTCTAACCTTCATCAACTTAAGGTGTCTGGAATTCTCATAGGTTGTATCATCGATATTTCTGTCGGGGAGCTTAGTTTCCAAGCTGCTGGTCAAGATACTGGTGTGAAGTTCAAACTTGAGCCTGGAGCAATTCTGTTCCCATCTGCTTTCGTTACCCCAACTGCTTCTGAAATACTTCAATTTGAGCTAGGAAGAATCAAGGTATCAAGCTCTATTTGAGAAAAAAATATTTATGATTGATTTTAGTACACTTTCCCTCTATCGGCTGCAATGTTCAAATCATGCACAAAATCCATAGTTCCATTCTGTCCTCCTCGACTGTCAGTAGAAGTTCTACAATCAATCTATTGGGCGCGGGTTCCTAATGAGATCCTCCGAACAACAGCTCTGAAACTGAGTGACGTTAGAGGTGAGATAAATCAAAAGCCTACTCTCAAGTCCTTCTTTAGGGTGGTCTGTTCTTTGCAACGATCCTGTTAGGGTCATGATGGTTTATGTACCTGAGAAAGATCAGTCCTTCGATATTCTCGAAATGATAGAAGATCAAGACAAGCTTGATTTCCATAGACAAACGCTGAACTTGTACTGTAAGCTAGCAAGTCATGGTAACTTAAAAGTAGCACACGTTCTTTGTCGACATGTGGATGAAGATCAGATAATGTATGCTGTGAGAAGCAATTGTAAGTTGCTTTCACGACATTCTTTTCATGCTCATTCACCTATCAGATCTATCCGGACAAATGAGACAAGGGTTCCACGATTTGCTCATAGCTCTCCATCTTAATAGTCATGCTAGTGCCAGAAAAAGTATGGCAAATGAATATGTCATCCCACTCGTACCAGAACTCAGTGATAGGAATGTCTTCGACATTGATACAGAAACTCGGTGAGCTGAATCGAACAGACAATTACTATTGTAATTCTTTGAAGGTATCCTCAAATCATGGGAACTCCTATTTCCATGTTGTCTGTGATGGCGTCCGAGTCAGTGCGATCACAGTAAGATCATTAGTGTCTACGTGAAAACTAACTTTCTTTCAGCGTTAATCGGGAAGAAGAGATGAAGCTGTTACCGCCATCTGTTAACTTCGATTCTCTTAAGTCACATGTAATGGAAGCGCTGCAAATAACTACACATCATGCTGTGATGAACTGTAGGGATCTGATAGGTGGATCAAATTTAACTCATTTCGAGTAAGTTTGCTTTTTACGACAATCATTCGTAGAGGCTTCCCGTGGAAGCGCGGTCGTTCTCATGCATTGTCTCATGATCTATGTTACAGACCGTTGTTCAAGCTCTTCGATGCTTTATTAGTTATCGGATTGATTGGTGACGATGAATGTGAATTATTGCTTAAGTTGATTCATCCCTCAGCTTTCGATGAAGCTTTCGAACCAAGTACTATTCAAATTTTTCATTTCTATTTTTAATTCTTCCTTTTAAGGAACAACTAAGAAAGGCTTAACAGAAATAGAATTAGCCGAAGGGGTTAAAATTCAGTTGGTCAGCATTCTCGACCATCTTTGCGACATCCAGGTAGGACGCTGTTTTCAAATTTATGCTAATTTCTGCATGTTAAGCTTCGACACCGCGTGGAGTCACTAATTGGATTCACTGAAGGTTTTGTAGGCGATTTACAAGGAGATCAATGTCGAAGGTAATCTCATCAGACAAAGATAGCTCTCGAATCTATTTTTTATAGATATATGGATATCAAACAAACCGACATGCCTCCAGCCGAGGCTGCCAAAAAAACCAAAGAGTTCCGCTGTCCACCTAAAGAACAGATGTTCCGATTACTTCAGTGCAAAGTTAAAGAAGAGAAAGAAGATCCATTGGACGATGAAGTAGAATATGATCAATGTCCCATGGCTGATTCATTGCAACAACAACTAAGGTATTCTTATTGATGATAATGAGCCTCATTTTTGAACATGACAGAGATTTCTGTGATATGCTCGTGCAGCGTATCGGTAATTCGGACTGTATTGAATCAGAAGAACAGTTAGCATTGATAGAATCTGAAGAATCATCATGGGTAATTCGTTTTCAATTGGAATCAGTTTTTATTTTTTATTACATAGGTTGATTCACTTGCTCGCCTTGTAGTAGCAGTTCCACCTCCTCTACCAACAGAAACAGTTATTAGACAAAAGAGAGGAACTGAGAGTTTCAGGTAGCGTATAAGTATTCCTGCTCTTCTATTCTCAAGTTTTTAGAGAGATGATCATACAGATGTTGCGAGATTGGGCTATGAATGATTTCATAGAAAGTAATGATTTGATTCGGAAAATGTTCAACTTGTTACTTCGTCAATATTCTGGTGTTCGTGAAGTGAGTGGTTGTTGTTTCATTTTTTTGTTAACTAGATTCATTCAGTTGCACGATGCCATGAGTCAAACGTATGTACTTCATGAACGTAATGTTCAAGACGTTCAAGACTTCATCGTCTATCTTATACAAATTAGAGAGCTTCTTACTGTTCAGTTTGAGCATACAGAAGAAGCGATTCTGAAAAGGGGACTGTGGAAACTTATGAACAATCGTATTTTCTTCCAACACCCCGACTTGATGCGCCTTCTCTCTGTGCATGAAAATGTTATGTCCATCATGATGAACATTCTGACTGCTCAGCAGGGTACTGTTGAGATTGAAGGAGATGAAGTGAAAGAAAAAGCACAAAAGGTAATCGATATTCAGTGATCACTATCAAGTTTCTCTCTCTCTAGGATTGCTCCGAAATGGTTGTCGCTTGTTCTCGTTTCTTATGTTACTTCTGTCGAACATCTCGACAAAATCAGAAAGCAATGTTCGAGCATTTAACGTTCTTGTTGGATAATGCCACTATGCTGCTCGCTCGTCCAAGTTTGAGGTAACTTACAACACACTAGTATTACATTACAATTTTTATATTATTCTAGAGGATCCGTTCCATTGGATGTAGCCTATTCGTCATTTATGGATAACAACGAGCTCGCCCTTGCTTTGAAAGAAGAAGAACTCGATAAAGTTGCAGTTTATCTTTCTCGTTGTGGTTTACAACCTAACTCTGAATTAATCACTAAAGGTTACCCCGATATTGGTTGGGACCCAGTTGAAGGAGAAAGGTATTGTTTCCAATTATCATCTGGTACACTATCTTCTTGGTTGTAGATATATTGATTTCTTGCGATTCTGTGTTTGGATTAACGGAGAAAACGTTGAGGAAAACGCTAATTTGGTGATTCGGCTACTGATTCGACGTCCTGAATGTTTGGGTGTAGCACTAAAGGGTGAAGGGCAGGGCCTGTTCGCAGCCTTCAAGGTACATACATAACAACTACTGTAGATGCATGATATCACGTTTATAGGAAGCAATTTTGTTATCAGAAGATATAAGAACATTGCAAGAAGGACACCCTCATACAATTCTGAAAAGTGGACTTCTTGGAGAGCATCCGTAAGTTCTTACTGGCGAAAATAAAAATTAGTTTTGATTCATAGATCTTATCCTACGAAGGAACAAGAAGATGAAGATTACATTGATCTCGGAGCAGCTATTCTAGACTTCTATTCCTCTCTAGTAGATCTGCTTGCAAAATGTGCGCCCGATCCAATGACAATTCAAGCCGGCAAAGGAGACTCTCTTAGAGCTAGAGCAATTCTGCGGTCACTCATTTCCTTGGATGACTTAGGACAGATATTGAGTTTGAGGTTCACGATACCTAATTTGGCTCAACCATCAACAGACGGTATGTTATATTTATCATCGTTTTACCACTAATTTCTTATTGGATCAATTACTATCGAGTGTTTAACTCTATCTGTCTCAAAACGTTTCATGTCCACGTTCACCTAACAATGTGTTACAGCTCGTCGTCGTTCGTTTGCAAATTCACATCAACATACCGTGAATCCCACACACTCATTCGCTGCAGTCGCATCTGTTCTCCAGAATCAATCACAAGTTGTTAGACGTAGACTTCCACGTGTAGTTGAAGATGAGAATGATGTGGAATCACCGGTGTCTGACTATGGAAGTGTTCACACTTCTTTTTCTGAACCTAACTGTAGTCAAACAACTGTAACTTCCCAAAAAAATCAGCACCAACTGCTCCAAAACAAACAATCCACCCCTACCACAGCACTTCGTCCTAAACCTCGTCTATCGTACATAAGTGAGTCTTGTCTATAATTGTTACATGTTGTATGTTCTAATTACCTTTTCGTTGTATCCCTAATGAGTTAACTTTGCATATTTAGATACTGGCCCACTTCCGGGACTGTTACCTAATCACAAAGGCTCTGTACTCTTGTTCCTTGATCGTGTCTATGGAATTGATAGTCAGGATATGTTGTTCCATTTCCTGGAGCAAAGTTTCTTACCAGACTTGAGAGCTGCCACAATGATGGATTCGGTGAGATCACCGAATACTTATCTGTTTCATAATCCTTGTTCTAGCCACGAGCTCTTGAATCGGACACCGCACTAGCTCTGAACCGATATCTGTGTAACGCTGTTCTACCTCTCTTGACGAATCATGCTCATTTCTTCGCTGATGCTGAACATCATTCAGCTTTATTGGACGCAACTGTGCACACCGTAAGTACTTCTGTTTGTAAATGATAAAATTATCTTATAATCAGGTGTATCGCATGAACCGACTGAAGTCGCTCACAAAAAATCAGAGAGAAGCCGTTTCTGATTTCTTAGTTGCCATCACTAGAGAATTACCTCCTGGTATGATGATCAAGCTGCTAAGAAAAGTCATAGTTGATATTCAACAAATGACCGATATCAATGTGCTCGTTCCACTTCGGGTAAGAAAGTTTTGTTTCCTTCTATGTGACGCCTGTTTTTTTATAGCTAATGACCCTTCACTACGAACGATGTGGGAAGTATTATGGATCCGGAAATCAGTACGGTGTTGCAACTGAAACCGAGAAACGATTGTCCATGCTTCTCTTCTATGCCATCTTCGACTCTCTTGGAAGCCGACCATATGATCCTGATCTTTTTGGGAAAGCTCTCCCTTGTCTCACAGCTATCGGATCCGCTATTTCGCCTGAGTACAGTTTGACAACTGGTGGGGAAGATATCAAGAAGTCAAAGGTCAGTTTTGTACTCGGCTAATAAATTCATTTTCATCGTTCTGCAGGATATCACTGAGGAAGGCCCATGGATTCCTCGAACCATCGATATATCCAAATGTGACTTATCAAGTGATATGAAAAATATGACCAATGCGTTTGCCGAGCATTTCCACGATTCTTGGGCTACAAGAAAGGTATACGACGGCTTTATAAATCTTCTAAAGGATGAGATTGTAGATTGAAAAAGGATGGGTACATGGAGAATTATACTCTCGCCAACTTATGACTCATCCTAGATTGAAACCATTCCAATTACTTCAAGAATTTGTAAGTGTGTCTGATCAAACATGAGAAAAACATGATTTACAGGAAAAAGCCTTTTATCGTGAACGCTGCGCAGAATGTATCAAAGCACTTCTAGCTTGGGGTTACAAGTTTGACCTTACTGATCGGTGGGTATAGTTCACTTTCCTATACAACTTCAGTTTTCCAGCGATGCCGCGGACAGAGCTGCTCATTCGCATACACCTTCTGGAACTTCAATACAGAATTTCGCTCCAAAACCTGTTGATTTGAGCAGTATGACCTTAGAAAAAGTTTGAGTTGTTTTTTTTATCATAGTATTTAATTTCTGCAGGATATGATGACAGCTGGAGAGAAAATGGCTGAGCACTCTCATCTTGTGTGGGCTCTGAAGGCTTATGAAGATCTCACCTCAAAAGGAGGTTACATGCCTATACCATTCGTACCCTGGGATTTGCTCACTGATTTTGAAAGAAGAAAAGATAGATTCAGGGCCATTGAAATTCTGAAGTTTTTGCAGTATCATGGCTATAGAGTTGTGTGGTGAGATTTATCATTGATCTTCTGATACAACAACTTCTTATTACAGTCCATTGTCAGAGCAATCTCAAACAGGAATGAAAAACGAAGGAGAGAGATCTTCTGTGGAAAAGAGATTTGCTTATAACTTACTTGAGAAGCTCATCCAATTCCTGGAGCAAGCCAGCTTGAAAATGCGTTCTGTTAAGCCCAGTCAAGAATTAACGCGACGTAACTCATTCCGAAAAGAAGGTCAGGATGTCAAGTTCTTCGAAAAAGTGAGCTTATCAGCGTTTTGCATTTATTTCGTTTTTCTTTGCAGGTTGTTCTTCCTTTGATGCACGCGTATTTCTGTGCTCACAAACACTATTTCCTGGAAGGTTCCAGTATTGTTCAAACTGGTACAGCAAGTATCAAAGAAAAAGAAATGGTCGCTTTGTAAGTCTCATGGTTGATTTCTATGATTCGGATTTGATGATTCGTATTCCAGCTTATTCTGTCGGCTCGCGGCCTTATTACGTATTAAGAACCGTGCTTTCGGAAGTGTAGCAAAAATCACTATACGTTGTCTGCAAGGATTGACGCAAGCTCTTGATTTGAGGTTAGATTCACTATGTACTTTCGATTAACAGTTATTTCTTCAAGATCCTTAGTGAAAGTTAATTCTGATATTGTCCGAACATCGTTGTTGACATTTTTCAACAATTGTGCAGATGATTTGTTTGCAGCTGTCAAAGAACTCAAGGTAGTTTATTTCATATGTAATATTCTAATACATAATCCAGGATAATGGTCAATACTCATTGATTAGAGGACAAAACATGAAATCTTGGATTTCTCTTGAGTTTGCTCATCAGATGATTGTCCCTGTGTTAACATCTGTTTTCAATCATATGGCTAGAAACCATTTCGGAACAGATATTTTATGTAAGATACATTGGAATGTATAATTAATGACTTATATTGGTTTCAGTGGATGATATACAAGCAGCTTGCTACAAAACGTTGGATTCACTGTACATGGTCACGGGGCTTTCTGCGACTGCGGCCCAGCGTAAAAGCATAGGTTATGAAACAGACAAGTAAGATGACCGATAAGTGTTCCGCTCAGTTGCTTCTTACAGACATAGACCGGGTCTAGGACAATGTTTATCGGCTTTTGCTTCTTGTTTCCCAGTTGCATTCTTAGAGCCAGAATTCAATAAGAACAACAAATATTCTGTCCTCGCTAAAAGTCAGGAGCAGTCGGTTCAGGTTCAAGAAATGCTTCAAAATCTGTCTACGCACATTCCCCATCTTGATAAGTTGTTGTCTGATATCGAACAAGTGGGTGAATATTACAGTTTAATGACTCAATGTCATACTTTAGGTTGCTAACAACAGCACTATGTATAACGAACAGCCCAACGTTTACGATGTAGATCTACCTCTTATGTGCTCATATTTGGCTTACTGGATAAGCGCAGGCCGTAACGACCAGTTTGTTCTTAATTTTTCTACTTCAAATGCCAATATTCTTAGTTCTCAAACTACAAGTGTGACGAATGACTATATCAACCGTATTTTCTGTGCTCTCCTCAAAATGATCAGAATTCATGTTGGCGCTGAAAATGCTCCTTGGCTATGCCGAGTAACATGTTTGTTTGAACTGCGTTTGACATTTTTATTCATGATTCTTTTAGTCTTTGCTGTGCAGATTATCCAAAATGTAACTTGTGACCCTGTGAAGGAGTTCATGCTACCCATTGCGGAACGCCTACGTAGAATGAGCGAAAGAGCTTACAAGGAAGAGGAACATATGCGGACACATCCTGATGATGCCGATGAAGGAACTGTAGCTGAGGTTTTTATGAGATCCATTTTATTTTTTCAGTTTATTTTCTTAGGATAATGCTCGTCTTGTACGCGATACATATGCATTCTTCCCTCTTCTGATGAAGTATACAGATTTACATCGTGCCCAATGGTTGAAACAACCATCCTGGGAAACTGATGGAGTCTATGAGAATGTTGCCGTTATTTTCCGGATATGGAGTCAAAGTCAGCATTTCAAGGTAAACATTTCTCTGTACTATGTTTCATTGTTTTCTTCATAGAGAGAAGAACTGAACTATGTTGCTCAGTTCGAAGAAGATGCGGCCATGGTAGGCGGTGGAGAAATGAAAACGGGTAAAGCTGCGATTGCTGAGCGGAAGAAAAAACGAAGAGAAGGACAGGTGTGTTTTGTTTTGATCTATATTACCACGGTGAGATGGAAGTAGAGGACACTAGCTTCTAGCTTGTACCCAACTATTGCATTCTCAATCCGAACCGAACGGTTGCATTCTCCATCCGTACCGAGCTGTTGCATTCTCAATCCGTACCGAACGATTGCATTTTCAATCTGTACCGAGCGGTTGCATTCTCCATCCGTACCGAGCTGTTGCATTCTCAATCCGTACCGAACGAATGCATTTTCAATCTGTACCGAACGGTTGCATTCTCAATCTGATACATGTTTTTTTAAATCCTTGATGCTTTTTAATTTTTTTTCATTAGGAAGCTGCTAAAGATAAAAACTTGAAAACTGTAAGTTAACGTTGTACATGTGTCCGCTTAATTTAGAAATTTATCGAAATCACTAGAAGTACATTCAATCCGTCTTTTCCAGGCCAAGAAAGATAAGCATGCTAATAGTATTGTGATAGCATGTTTGAAGCGGTTGCTTCCCGTGGGGCTCAATGTTTTCGGAGGACGTGAGCTGGATATTGTACAGCAATCCAAAGAAAAATTCGTTCAAAAAGAACAAGAAGAAAAAATTCGAGAGTTCATTAAAGGACTTCTTGATATACCAGTGAAAGTATGTTAATCCGTTAGAAAAAAATCATATATTAAATTTTAGACTGATCCGACTGACAAGAACGCGTGGCAATTATCCTTATATCGGAAAATTGGTAAAAGTCAAATGCGAGGAAAAGATGAAATGACACAAGATGGTGTAATTGAGAAAATATTCAATATGGGTCAAGTCTCAGCGATTCTTCACACCGTACGTTTTACATTCTTTATACTTTTGATCAAAATTAAAAACGAAGTTGGAAAAAAAAGAAGTCTGAGGATTAGGGGTATCTGTGTTTGTATTTGTGTTTGTTTTAGTTGAACACCAGAGTACAAGTGTGTCGTGCTAATTTAGTTTTATTCATTTGAATAACTGTTTTTGTGTTTCGAGAGTGAATCATGAGTTATAGTACTGCTTATTAACCCATGTGGTAGATATATTATGTTCCGTGTTGTTCATGTCTTTCGTCTTAGATTACTCGTGTCAAGGATCGTAAACGTCATCGTTTCTTCTTTAAGGTAAGAGTTTTTGCTTTTTTGTTCTATGCTTCTCTCCATATGTAGCTTTCCATTCATGTTTAAAACACTATGAGATTAGTATACGCATTCTTAACGCTTTATATTAACAGTACGATTTACACGGCAACCGGCGCTTTGATGCTAATGCCAGCATATTTGATCTGAATAGCGTAAGTATATGGTCGATTTCGAGCTAGCCTTCTTCATCTATAGAACCTAACCCATATATTTCCGATCTTTGAGTTCATCTTTCCACGCTTATGATGTGGTACTGTTTCATACAATAGTTTCTTCTATTAGATAGTTTCACTTATACTTTCCATGTAGAGACTTAGTTCCTAATTTCTCCCTTATTTCAATAATATTTGTCACTTCTTCTTTTCTTCAACTAGTTGAAAGAGCTACGAGAGACAAGTAACTCTATATCAGAGCATGCGTACATGAAAGCTTTCACTGGAGCTCCTTCCTGCTTTTCTATCACTTTCTCTTTTTCTCACAAAAATAATTAAAACATTAGATGTTTTTCTCGTGTTTTAGACAGAGCACCCGCAGAACTTGCTGACTCAAGCTTGGAAAAAAGTAGTTTCAACTCAACGTAAACGAGCTGTGGTAGCTTGTTTCCGTATGGTTCCTCTATACAGTATACCAAGGTGATAAATCCACTTAAAAACATAACTGGTTACTACCCTATATGCTCCCTCATCTACCCTCACTTCAGACCACACTTTCCCAATCCTTTAGAATCTTGGAAATATGCATGTTTAGAGCTTACCAAAATCTGCATGACTTGGCTTGCTTGCGTGGTTGTATAACTTATGTAGTTTATCCTTATCAAATGGGTTTTCTTCAAACAGTTTGCTGTTGTGTGCAGCTCCGATGACTCAGACCTCGAGATTTCTTTTTATTTCGAATAAATTTCGATTTAATTTTAATACGTTAAATCTGCAATCCGTTGCGATGGACATTAAGAAATTGCATGTATTAGGTGACGAGTCGCCCCGAAAAGGAAGATAAGTGGAAGAAGGTATTAACTCTTCAGCGTAAGAGAATGGCTATTTCTCTTATAACAGCTTCTCATCTTTATAAAGTTGATTTGTAAGTTTACATCATGCTTTTCTCTTTTGGTTTCTGGCTATGCTTTTTCTCTTTTATACCCTCTAACTTGAATTGCCTCTATAGGAAGAAAAGTTCGATCGCTATACTAACAACGATCTTAATCATATATCTCAATCATATACATTGTAAATGACCAATGATTCAGACACCGTGGAATAAATTTCTTCCTCCCTGCCTTCTCCAAGCTCTGGTTAGAAGAAGAGGATACAGGTCAAGACAAACTCATCAGCGAACTATGTGTATGTCCACAGATAGTCTCGAATGAGCCTTATATTGTATTTCTAGAGCGGCATCGAAGAAGATGATTCTCCTCGAATTGAAGTCATTATGGAAGACGGAGTGCTTGTTACTGCTCCTTCAGAAGAAAGCAAGGAAAAAGAGTATGTACAGAAGTAGTTGAATGATTTAATTTTTTTGACGTTGCAGCGCTCATCCCGATCCTCTGCGTCAGCTAATCCAGTGTTTCCAAAGAGCAGCCACTAGTGAAGAAAGCCAAGCAGCTCCGATTCATGATGACGCATTGTACATTCGTTTTGCGGAAGTCATGTCACAATCTATCCACATCGAAGAAGAAGACGGTGAAGATGGTGATGAAGGAGAAATTGATCAAGCTGTATGTTTGAAATGTATTTTATAAATGATATTTTGGCCATTTCAGCAAAAGGAAGAACAATCTCAAGCTCTCAGAGCTGAACAAGGAGTTCTCGCTAATAGAGGTGCTGCCATCATGTGCTTGATGTATCTGTCTGCTTCTAATGGTGAGCCCAATGACATGGTTGCTCAAACTCTCCAACTTGGAATTCACTTATTAAGTGGAGGAAACGTGGAAATTCAAAGAGTAAGAGAAGGTTGATGAACCATATCGTTTCACAATGCGGTTTTCAGATGTTGATTGAGTATCTTCAACTCAAAAAAGATGTTCGGTTTTTCACTTCTCTTGCTGGTCTTATGAACAAGTGCTCAGTGTTGAACTTAGAAATGTTTGAACGCCAAATCAAAGCTGAGGGACTTGGAATGGGAGCTGAGTTAGCAGCTGGAGACAATCAAAACTTGAACGATGCTGAGTTTACTTGTTCCCTATTCCGATTCCTGCAACTCACTTGCGAAGGACACAACTTGGGTAGGCTTGAACAGAGCTTACAGTTTCTGATTGAATCGTTTTCAGAGTTCCAAAACTATTTACGAACGCAACCAGGTCATACTACCAGTGTCAATTTGATCAATTGTACTGTAGACTACCTGTTACGGCTACAAGAATCAGTAATGGACTTCTATTGGCATTACTCCAGTAAAGTAAGTTTCCTGCTGACAACAAAGATTCTGATGAGCATCTTCTAGGAAGTCATTGATGAAGGCGGAAAAGAATATTTCCTACGAGCCATTCAAGTTTGTAGTCAAGTGTTCAATACTCTCACTGAAAGCATCCAGGTGAGTGCATGAGTAAGAATGTGAGTTCATGTGTTGATAGGGTCCTTGTGTCGGAAATCAAATGACTTTGGCCAACTCTCGTTTATGGGATGCTATCAATGGATTCTTCTTCTTGTTCGCTCACATGATGGAAAAGTTATACAAGAACTCAACCCAACTAGAACTTCTCCGTGAATTCTTAAACTTGCAGAAAGATATGATTGTCTTAATGCTTTCCATGTTAGAAGGTATTCACAATGTTCTTATATGCTGGTTCTTAATGAAATTTGATCTTCAGGTAACGTTCTTAACGGTCCTATCGGAAAGCAGATGGTTGACGCTCTGGTTGAGTCACAGCCGTCTGTGGAGAAGATTCTCAAGTTCTCTGACATGTTCTTGAAGTTAAAGGATTTGACTACATCACAAGCATTCCAAGTAGGGATCATTCCATTCTTTACCATCTTATCCGAGATTTGTAGGATTTTGACACAAACCGTGATGGTTGGATTTCTCCTAAAGAGTTCCAACGAGCAATGGAAAGTCAAAAGATGTATACAGTCGAAGATATCACCTATCTTATGATGTGTACTGATGTCAACAATGATGGCAAAGTAGACTATATGGAATTCACTGAGAGGTTAGAGTTTTCATGACTCTCAGTTAGTCATTCACTTTTTTCCAGATTCCACAATCCTGCCAGAGACATCGGTTTCAACTTAGCCGTTCTACTTACCAATCTGAAAGAACATATTACTAACGATCCCAGATTAGAAAAGATCATTGAAAAAGCTCAAACACTGCTCGAATACTTCGATCCATTCTTAGGACGTATCGAGATCATGGGTTCGAGCAAGCGTGTGGAGAAAATCTACTTCGAGATTCAAGAGTCATGGCTTGAACAATGGGGCAAGCAACAGATCAGGTAAATCTCATTTACCTGTCGGCATGGAAAATGAGTTTCTTTGCAGAGATTCTAAGAACTCCTTCTTGTTCAACGTTCTTCAAGATGATGGAGGTGACCAAGGCAAACTGGAAGCTTTCATTAACTTCTGTGAAGTGAGTATATAGATAATATACATAATGTAACCATTCATCTTCAGGATACTATCTTTGAAATGCAGCATGCAGCTGAAATTTCAGCAGGAGATGGAGACTCGAAAATGGAAAGAGCCATGAAGCAGAGAGATTACTTTTTGCAACAAACAAGTGCTGGAGAGTAAGTGCATTTGTTTGTACCACATTCACTGATTTATTTTTCCAGACAAATAACTGAAACATTCAAGAGTGGATATAACATCGGAATCAGCGCTGCTGTTGCTTTACATCCTGAAAACATCAAACAAACCTTCAAAAATATCAGTTCGAAAGTCAAGTGAGTATCAATCGGACTCTTTCGTACTTTTCCCGCTACTCTTTTTAGACAAATGACTTGGATGCAGTTCTTCTACTGGCTCATAATTGTGATTTTCCAAGCTGGTGTGAAGTTAGGAGTATCGATCTGGCTTCTTCTTCTGACTGTCTTCCGATTCGCCTATTACCTAACAACACCAAGTAGAGACGAAGAAGAGAAGGAAGCCTTCATACCACCACCTGCAGAGTACGTTTCAAAAGTACAACAATCTATTTATATATGTTTTTCAGACATAACCATCATCCAACATTTACCCATCCTGTGTTACCTGAGTTCCATCACAGTCATGTTGGAGTGGATGCGTTCGGGGTGCTGTCTCCTGATCAGCTTGGAACAGAAAAGCCTACTGTGAACAATATCAGCGAACCGACAGCGAATCATATACCTAATGGTCATGCTGTGCATGCCGATCCTGTTGAAGAAGACAATGTCTCTACAGCTTCTCCTCACCATCATACACCACCACCAAGTGTTCAGAAGCCTCCAAGGTAGATTACCATCAGCTATTCCATGGTTCTAAAGTTTTCTTTCTTCAGTCTCTATGAATCTCTCGGAGCTCCTAATCAGCAAATGCCACAGTCGGAAGTTGACTTCGCTTCCCCCGGTCTGTATGAGCCCAAGATCGCTGAACAGAACGTTGGAAAGAGCAAAGGATCAATTCTTGTTCGTTTTCATCCGTTTTACATTTCACCTGCTCCCTTTTTCAGAACATGCTAGCTAGGAACTTCAAAACTATCGAGAAGACTACGTTGCACTTGGCTTTCTTCATCAATGTTATTCTTCTCTTCCACAGAGTTGATATCATGCAATCGGAAAATCCTGGTTTGCATCTAGTTTTACGAGCTTTTGAATAATTTTCTTTTTGAAGATCACGAACCTATTGAGGGAGAAGACGATGATGAATCCACTGAAAACATCTTCATCACCGGAATGTTAGTTCCTTATGTAGAATATGAAGTAACCGGCTGGCTTCTGGCACAAGTATGCTGTTGTTCTTCTATTCCAGCTTAAACTTTTATTCATTTTAGGTTCTTTATTGGATCAGCATGCTTCATCTCGTGACTTCTTTTGCCCTCCTTGTTTCTTTCTACCAACTGAAGATCCCTCTCATCACTTTCAAACGAGAGAAAGAAGTTGCGAGAAAGTTAATGTTCGATGGCTGCTGGATTACAGAAGAAGATAGTGAAGAACGAGGAGTAATCGAGACCTTCATGTGGTAAAAGAACACCTCTAAGTTTGAATTCTAAAAGTGTTGTTGTCAGGTACCTAGATCGGATAGTCATAAGTGCTAAATCGTTCCCAATGATGTACTGGGACAAGTTCGTACGAAGGAAAACAAGACAGAAATTCAAAGATCAAGTTGATGAAGAAACACTTTTATCCTTATTGGGAGAAGAAAAATCCTCTGGTGATAACAGCTTCGACTACAGGTAGGAGAAGGATGGTTGGAAGTTCATTAACTCCATATTAAGATACACCTGCTGGCTATGGATCGGCGTAATTTTGACCAACGGACAGTTTTTGTATAGAGTTGGTTACCTGTTATGTTCGGCTTGCGGTAAGAGTTGACGTTCTGTCGAAAACATTATTTCGTTCAGGTGTCTTCATCTCTCCTTTCTTCTATGCTTTCCATCTCATCGATGTGGTGCTCTCATTCCCTATGCTTAAAGCTATTCTACAGTCTGTTACTCACAACTTACAACAGGTGCTCTTTCATAGTAGTTAAGCATGTATATCTCGAAACTTGCAGCTTATCCTCACCATCATGATGATATTGGTAGTCGTATACCTTTACACAGTCATTGCCTTCAACTTCTTCCGTAAGTTCTACGTGCAAGAGGGTGAAGAGGGTGAAGAACCTGATCGCAAATGTCACAACATGCTCACGGTAATCTATTCCTTTTGTGACTCCTGGGAACTTCCTTGTTTTTAGTGCTTCATCTACCATTTCTACGCTGGTGTCAGAGCTGGTGGTGGTATTGGAGATGAGTTAGAATCGCCATATGGAGATGAATTGGAGTATCCTAGAATGTTCTACGATATTTCCTTTTTCTTCTTTGTTATTGTTATTCTAGTAGCTATCATGCAAGGTATTTAATTTTCATTACAAGTCTATCAGAAAATATTTGCTTTAGGTTTGATCATTGACGCTTTCGGAGAACTTCGTGATCAACAAGAGTCAGCCACAGAGAAGCTTGAATCATCTTGTTTCATCTGTGACATTGGCAAAGAAACATTTGATCGGATGCCGAGAGGCTTCGAAATCCACACCACTAAAGAACACAACTTTGCCAACTACCTGTAAGTTCACGGATAGCCTTGAGCTCCCAACTTTTACTGCTTCAGATTCTTCTTACAACATCTTGTAAACAAGGACGAAACAGAGTATACTGGTCAAGAAACATACGTTCGCGAGAAATATGATAATCGGTTGGTTTTCGATACTTTGCGATCGTGGATATCGTTTATTCCCTAAGAGCTGGTTTCTAACCTTTAACGGACTTTAGCTTCTCTTTAAAAATTCAATTTATGAGTGAATTGCCTAGAATAGTGCTCATTTAAGCGAATTCTAAATAGGCCATCTTGACTTAGGAGAACCAAAGATCTCGCTCGTAAAACTGTTGACCGTGCCATGGACGTGCATTGCACGTGCCCATTGTTTACTTCAAAAGTGCATAATCGTACACTTAATGCTTTTTTGATGAAAACCAAGCAACTTGATAATGAAAAAACGAAAAAGAAAAGAAGAACTTGGTTTCATACGAATTCTATTTCAGTGATTGGGATTTCTTCCCAGTTGGAGAATGTTTCGTCAAGCAATACGAAGATCAACTACTTCAATCATAGAACATCTCGTGACTAATTGTTTTAATTGTTATCTCATATAGAAGACGATCGACTAAACGAAACTTTAGAAAAGAATTAAAAATAGTTTTAATTAGATTTGTGTATTGTGTACAGCTTCATAACAGAATAGTATCTTTGCTCAATTTTTTTATTGTCAAAACGTAAAACCTGTGTGCTCATCGGGATTTTCCAATCTTTCGTAGTTCATTTATATATATCAGAGAATTGTGAAAATCTCATTGTGAAAGTGCCTTTTCATATATAAACATTGTAATAAAAATAATAAATTATTCAAATTTATCAGGCGATTCATACAATTGGAGACGCGAGAGGTTGTTGTCTACTTACATCGATTCATACTTTATACATTTGATGATATATTCTTATCAATTATTGATTCTTTGATTGCAAATCCTAAACGCTTAGTTAGTGAACGTAAGGAATCCCGTAATAGCACTCGCATAACGAAAAAGGTAATTATGATACAGCTGATGAGATAGATGATTGGAAATATGAGTAGGAAATCTGTAAACGCTCATAAACAACTGCTCTGACGAATCTACGAAACTCACTTGTCCACATTATAGAAGAAGAAGAAGGTTACAAACTATTTATATCAGATACGTCTTCGTTTTTCGTGTCAGCCAAATTGTATTTCATACAAGAAAACCAAACAGACTAGACACTCCTTCTAGTCTATGAATAGCTTTGAGCAAATATGCGAACAGTTCTATAAAGAAACAAAAATATTTTTTTCGCCGCAATTCATAAATTGAATTTTGATTTTCATAGAGAGAAAGGGAACATGCATGCACATAACAGACACAAGAAACATCATCAGAATAGGTTGTGATGAGAGATTGTTTTACATGTCTTATAAGGAAGAGCAAAGGCGCCAATTGCTGCTATCATAGGTCATGGCTCAAAGTACAACTGATGATTATCGATTATAATATAAATTATGTTTGCAGACTATATAAGGCTTCAGGCTTGTACCCTTACCTCTCATACTTGCTTTATCCATGGTAGCCTCAACCTGATAACAACGTTGCATATACATGGGTATCATCAGCTATTCACATTGAATTTTGCGAAAAACGAAAACAAAATAGCATCTCAAGCTTGGCTCTGATGGTTATGGTGGGGAAGAGAGAGAAGCAGATGAAATGATTTCATTCAAACATCTGCAAATGATATGAAAAATTATTGGTTTGACTGGCAATGGATACGTATGAGGAACGGGGTGAACATACCCAGACAGCTGCCTTGCCAAACAAAGCAATTAGGTCAAATACAGGTTATTATTCTTATTGTGTTTGCGTAAATATGCTTCATCAGCGGCGAACGAAGAAGGGAGAGCACGATAGAACGAGATGAGCGACGACGACTAAGGTATGAAAGCCAATTTATCTCTAGGCAACTGAGAAAAGTAATAAAGCTGATTGGATTTTTGGTTGTGTCTCATGAACCGAATGGTTTTGGAACGAAACGACCGACTGAGAAGACTTTCATCTCCCTCCTTCATCAGATTTGTTCTTCATAAGATGATATCTTGAGGCGAAAAGATTAACTTGCGGGACTTTACGAAAAAGTTTTTCATGTCTTCTTCTTCCTCGTCTTTTATGGATCATTTCAAATATGGAAAAATAGAAATGTTGTTGGGTGAGGATGAAAAGAAGGAGAAACACTGAAACATCTCACGAATTTATGAATTATTGGATGAGACATGGCTTCCATCTGGAGGATTACGAGGCTTTCATGGTTTCATAGATCTCATTGCTTCTCGCAGACAATTACCATAAAGATGTTTTTCTATCTATTAATATTCGAAAGACTTGGATCTATAAAAAGATTTTCTTCTTCTTCTTCATCTTGATATCATAACAAAGATAATAAAAGCCAAATAAAGTACAATGTTAAACGAAAAAAGAAATATATCAAAAGTAAAAATTATAAAAAAAGCTTTTCATCTGCTTCACAGCTGCTCAACCCGTTCGCTGTCGGAAAGTGGACTTGGACATTCCCTGAGATTAATATCGTCCGTTGCCAATGGTGTATATTCCTTGTTTCTGTAATATATATGATATAGATAAGTAAGTCTAATGAGATGGCAAGTGAGAGAGCAAGATTTTCTTGAAAAGCCTAATGAATAGTCTCACCTGATCTTATTGCTATTCTTTCTTTGCATAGGAATTTGTGAAAAATTAAAATTACTTGGTGTTGTTGCTCTTTTCATAACCAATCTATAATGATAATGATGATTATTGATTGATTGATGAATTTCTTACGCATATGCACGAGTTGGTAATACGACTGTCCAGAATGTTTGACGATATCTTGATGACATCAAACAATATAATATAAAGTTAACAGATGAATTGAGCAATGATAGAAGATCTAATATATCTCCCAAATAGAAATATAAAAACCTTTAATTATTATAATTATGCATTGATGAGAGGTGTGTGTTTACCTATGAACATCCGCTGTATAGATTGCACACAGTATGGCTATCAAGCCCTGAGGCAATTCAGTTATCAGAAATACTATAAGGATGACTACCAACATAACTGTCGTTCGGTCCGTTTTATGCGTTTTCCTTCAAGAAACATTCATTTGAAGAGGGATTGGGAGAAATTCGTTTTTTCGTCTCATACACATCTCATCTAACTCTCAGACAACTAATTATATGAAGCGAATTAGCATAATGCAATTTCACGTGAGACGGGCTCTACGTGAAGTACTAACACACGCGCGAAAGTTCATTGTAGCTATTGAAGACGCACAGAGCGGTCATGCATTCATTATACTCTCTCTAGTTCTCTTTCTTTCATTTTTCATTTTATGTTACTGAAACTAACTTCTTGGCTGATTTGGCATCAGTTGTCATGTTGCTGCCATTTGTAAGTTTTCGTCGATGACGTTCAGCATCCCGAATCTTCATAACAAGTCCGATAGAAAGAAGTAGCAACAGAAAGCAAGGAATAATCTGAAGAAAAAAATAATTGTAAATGAATGAAAGCAGTTAAAGAGGTGAGAAATGAAGATGAGAGAATGGGAATATAGAGACACAGAGAGAGAGAGGGATAGATAGAGAGGTAAAGGAAATAGAGATGAAAGACAAACCTTAAAAACAATTCCAATCATCCAAATGTTCCATTTGAACAATCGACAATTATTTGCAACAGCACTTGAACTTATCTGAACAGAATATTCTGAATCTTCATCGGATAGAGACAGTGAGAGGAACGTCGTCGTCGTCATCGTCATCAGAAGCAACGAACGAGCAATTCCAAAAAAAAAAACAGAAACTTACAGCAAAAGTGTATATTGTCTCAGAATAATTTTGAGGATATTCATTTGCACATTGTTCTGATGGACGCCAATTAGCATCGGATGGTAATTGAATAATTTCATGAACAAACATATTTGGACAACATAAGACAAGAACAGCAACATAGATGAAAGAACAGATTTTCCATGCAAATTGCGGTCGTTGCCAGAAGCTGCAAATTATTTTTTTCAATTCAATTCTTTATTTTTCTTCTTCTTCTTCTTCTTCTTCTTCGTCTTCAATGATGCCGTTCTTTGAGTTGTTTCTGTTCTTCATCTATCCCCCCCACCCTTTCTCATTCTCACTCCCATTATCCAATTGTCTCATTTTAACTATCATTGCTTAAGCTCTTACAGCTTGAGCCAAAAAAAAACCTTGAGCTTAAGCTCTAAGCTCACGCCTACATTTCATTTGTGAAACCTAAGCTTCTCCCAATACCTTAGTTAAAACCCCGATTTCGAAAAAAAGGGAATTGAAAACAAAAAAAAAGCTGAAATGAAGAGTAGATGAAGCAAGAGAGAGAGAGAGACAGAGAAAGAGAGAGAGGAAGATAGAAAACCGTATTTTTCATTTTTCTGTTTCGCTTTCTCTTTTGGAGTTTGCCATATATAGCAATAGAGCGACATAATAACAGCTTTAAAATGATAGAAGATATGCTTATGAAGCTGTTCGAAGCACTTTACAAACTTTTACAATTCGAACATGTTTTGGTAAGAAGTAGCAGGAAAAGAAGAAGAATGGAGTCGGCATAACAGAGACGAGACAAATGCAATAAGGAACCATACACATACTCGTATTTGTTTTTTTTTCTCTCAGAATACACAAGAACTAATTGAATTGGCACGCTTGTCGTGAAGATGAAGTTGAAGAGGAAGATGATGCTGAACGATAGATTACCTGTTCAATCGAGCAACACGTAATGTCATTCGTCTGAGGAATGCCATAGCTACTGCAAGCCAGAGTGATGTTGTATGCAATGTAATACTGAGAACGACATGCCATAGAAGGAATTGCATCCATCCATGTGTATAACGAGGTGAACTGTAATAACCATATACGTATAGTTAGTTGTATCCAAAAGTTAATCACCAATTATTATCTTTTAATATTACAAAATGAACAATGTAGATGAGATATGATACCATTGTGCCGATGTCACACACCGCCACTGCCGTCAGAATACAATTGACGGCCGAGTTTCGCATCGTCGGCCTACAAACACATATATATTTCCAGAAATTATCAAAAGCTGCTGATTAAGATTGATCTGAATTGATCTTACCTGGATAATACGAGTACATGAACCAGATTTGTGAGAATACCGAACACACATAACCCCACACAGATATAACCATGAATCGGTCCATAGAAACTATAAAGGTTCATAATGTATCAAAATATTTCCATTTATCTCTCTTTCTCTCTCTCTCTCTCTCTCTCTCTGTGTTCGCTTGTTCTTCAATTCCCAGGATGGAAATTTAGAAGGCAACTTTCAGGACGTTTTTGTTTCTGTTCGAAGGGACAAATTAGAACAAACACAACAACAAGGAGTTTGTTTGATCGACGATACTTTCAAAAGAGAAAGTGTAAAAGTATGTGATCGAAAAATACTTTTAAATAGAGAGAGAGAGAAGAAGGTTATGAGAGATAAGAGACAGTGTGAGAGAGAGAGGTTATGAGAGTAACAGGAGGGGAAAGGAAGTATCCCGAAGAGATGGAGTATACGGTATGAGGATAGCTTTTACACCTTTCTATTTTTGATGAATAGAATATATGTTGTAGAAAATGAGAAAAAAAGTAACAAAGAATGACAAACCTGCGAAAGTTAGCGAGTTTTTCAAGCAGTTGAAGTGTTATAGTGTCGTTCAGATCGAAGAGAGGACGATCTCGCGCACAATCCGACATTACAGTTCCACATCTCTTCTCATCACAATATTCCGATTCTGAAAATGGAAAATGAGCATTTGAATGTGTGGCTATAGAACATGAAGAGCAAATTAGAAGAGACAAAAGAGTTTTGAAGGGAAAAGGCAAAAAAAAACTTTAAGAAGGGTATGAATCATAGAGGATTTGGAAATCATAAAAGTAACGATTGGCACGAGAGAACGAAATGACATAAAGAAGGGAAAATGACATGTATGAGGGAGGGAGGGAGATAGAGAGAGAGAGAGAGGTAGTCAATGAGGGCGGAAAGTAGGGGAGAGAGGGGGGAAGACGAACAAAAAAAAGGAAAAAATAATATAAATCAGAAGGAATTATCCGTCAGACGGAAGAAATAGATTTAATAATAAAAATGAAAACTTAAGAACATCATTTGCATAGAAGTCTATGATCTCTGAACGATGTTAAGAGAGAGAGAGAGAGACATCGAGGTTGTGGTGAGAGTCAAGAAAGAAGTTTTAAAGAGTTTTTCAAATGGAAGAGAGGGAGATAGAGAGAAAGATTTTGATAGAGAGGCGAGCAGAGAAAGAAGGAGGGAGGTATGTGGAGGGTGGGAGGAGGAGAGGAAGGAAGCTGAAAGAAAGAAATGTTTTAAAGAGGAAAGCTGAAGATAAACTTCTTTTGAAAGGTTATTCAATGGGAGAGGCAGGAAACTAATGAAGAAGAACATCTCTGGTCAAACAAATGTTATTTCAAGTGTATTTTGGAAGAAAAAAGATGAATCGAAGTTGCATTCTGTGTGTTCGAAGAGTTATTAATTGAGAACATCACATGTCGTATGAAATGAAAAACGGTCAAGCTCTCATGTATTGAATTTAATTTTTTATTATTTCACAAAGAAAAGGAAGATATCGATAGATAGAGAGATCTATAGAGAGGTTAGAGAAGAAGAGAGAGAGAGAGTGAGAGATGAAGTTCAGCAGGACTTGATACTTAACGTCTCTCTTACATATACACACCTACTCCGTGCTTCTCCGTCTTTGAAAATAAAAAATTAATATTTTTGAGAGATTTCTCAGAATTTGCAGAAGTGATTAGATGAATATGGATAGAGAGGGAGGAAGACTGGCTACAAAGGAAATGCTCTTTTCGACTTCGATGAGAAGAGATGAACGTTTGCTCGACGAGGAGATGCAGAGGACAGTTCTGATTGAAGGAGCCAAGTATAGATGGGGGTGTGGATGGTTGTGATAATCAAGACGATTTTGGTAAAAACAACGGGAAACTTCTACAAAATGTCAGAAGAAGAGAAAAAAGGAGAGAGGAAGGAGAAGGAGAGAGTGTGGCCGAGAGGTTGGAAGAGAAGAAGAGAGAGGGAGTTTTGCAGGAGATTAGAAGAGGAACACTTAGAATGAAGATTCAAATAGAAATATTTTGTCAAAATTGTTTGAAGGAGGTGTAGATGGTTGATGAGGAGATTGAGGGTGAGAAGTGATTTGTCTGAAATAGGGCCACGTGTCTGCTCAGATGAACTTAAGAAGCCGTTTGTTGGGAGGGAAGATGGAACAGAAGTAAGTCGATTGAATCTATTGTGAAGAAGAAGACATTCGATTTAAGCAGATGTTTTCCCATGATCAGTCGTGGTTCATAGATGAGCCCATGAAAACTTGTTGGTGGAAAAGGAAAAATAAAATAAAAAGTAGATTTCGGTCGTCTAGTGACTTCATGAAGACATGATGATGATGATGATGTGATGAGATGAGTTAGATCTCATAAACAGATCATTTGTGATGATAGTTTCATTGTGGTCTCTGTTCAGCTTCTATCTGTCGACTGTTTAAGATTCGATCAAAGAACCAATTGGTGTTCATACGTAGTCAATAGAATTCATTATAATCTTACAACAAAGGAAATATCAGAGATGGAGCTTTGCTCACTTTCATTATCATTTCTTAACTTAGAAGGATGAAGTGAGGGAGAGAAAGACAAGGGGATACGATGAGAGGGTGTAGAGATAGTAAGATGGTGGGTGAAGAGATGCGAGAGAGATGTGATAGTTAACACTCGAGAAGAGCAGAAGCATGTTTATGAGAAAACATCTAAATTATATAAAAAAACAGATAGATGAAAGTTCACGGCGAATGTCAGCTAACTGTTCCGTCATCGCTCTCCCCTGAGTAACTCCCTCATCTTGCTCTTTCACTCCTCCTACTGTCTATACGTGTGTGTGTATACTTGAGGGAGTGGTGTATGATCGTGTTTCCTTCTTTGGTTGGGATCTATTTTACTACTTCCAACTCCCATTTTGAAAAAGAAAGTTGTGAGCTTCTACTTAATTCCCTCTCTCTTTGATTTAAAAAGAAGAAAAGGGCCCGATCTGAGTCATTTGAACTCAAATAATTCATTTGTTAATCACATGTCACAACCCATCTCAATTTAATAGAAAATCCTCTCTCAACGCACAATTTCTTTTTTACAAAAAGATAATGTGAGAGAAGATGGGATAAAAGAATATTTTAATATTTCAAATATCTTTCAGGTGTTAGATTGAAGTAGAAGGAGAGAAGTCTGTGTGAGATGGAGGGGAAGAAGAGAAGACAGTAGAGGGAGGATTGAAGGGAGAATGGTTGGAACTAGGTGGGATGGGAGGAGGATAACGCAAAAGGCAAAAACAGGGACAGACCATAATAATGATAGAGATAGAGAGAGAGAGAGAGAATAGAAGAGAGAGAGAGAGAAAGAGAGAGAGAGAGATAAAGGGTGAGCAAAGGAAAATTTTTGTTTTAGATGATCAGAGGATAAAAAGAAAATTAAATAAAAAAAATCATTGTTTGAATTGCTTTCGAAGAGACGACGAAGAGGTGCTAAGAAACAAGCTGAACATTGGCTTGTATTGAGACCAAAGTGCTTCTCGTTCTTCAGGACTGCAGTAAACATATGTTAAATTCAGAAGATTTGAAGAAGCGATAAAGATAAGAAGAAGTTAAAACCTGATAGCGGTGGTGAGAAATCAACGAAAACAAAATTTTTTTCGAAATCAAAAAGTTTTTTTTTATTTCATTACGTTTGTGCTTAGAAGCAGGGCTGATGACAGAGGGAGACAGAGAGAGAGAGAGAGAGGTTGGTTGGAAAGCAAGTGATGACAGAGGATCATGTAGTCTACTACAAGCTGGATTATGAAAATAAAAAAGAGTTTGAACTCAGATAATATAATGTTAGCCTGAGGCTATATATAGTCAAAAGTGGAAAAATGAGTATGAGAGAGAATGGAAGGAAGAGAGAGAGAATGAAGTTAAGGGCGACCAAACGTCATCTAGCTGTACTTGTCTTTTCATCTTAAAAATGAGATGAGAAGAAACCGAAATGATATACGTCAACGAGAGTTTGAAAGCACAGAAAGATTTATAGAATGTCATATAAAATGGGTTGAAAGCACAAAAAGGAGGAGACAAGAAAATGAGATAAGGATCATTATGTAACATTATAACTGTCGGAGAGTGGTTAAAGAAAAAGAGAAGAAAAAAAAGAAGTTGGAGGGAGAGGGAGGGGTGAGCAAATTGCCGCAGGCGCTATGTCGTCCATACTGGACACTTCAGATTACCAAATTTAAGATGAATTGAAGGAGAGAGATAGAGAGAGAGAGGGAGTAAGTGAGGGAGGAAGGAAATGAGTAAGAAGATTAAAGTTAAAAGACTAAAATAAAACTTAACAACTTTCAAAGATTCTGTATTTATCAACGAACTTCAATAGAAGAAGCTTGTCGTGTGTGTGTCATCTATGTCATAAGGGACTTGAGAGAGGAAAAGCTCAATATAGAGAATGCTTGTGTGCTCCACCATCTTCATTCACCATTTCTCTGGCAGAAGGATGAAAAAACGAAAAGAAAAACGAAACGTTTTGTTCATTTCAAATATCCAACATGCTACAGCTACGAACAAGACTTCATGGTTGGGCTGTGTTGTGAGAGAAAACAAATCGTATAAGACCAAATACTCTGATAAGTTTAGTTTTTGGGAAAAACCTTAGCCTATCAAGCATTGAATGGAAGTAAGTGAGAACTGAGGCAGATTGGATGCTGGAACGATTACATGGGTTAAAGGAAAAGAAAATCTTTTTTTTTTTCTTTTTCACATTCTCTCTCTTTCTAAATTGGAATTGAGGAGAGAGAGAGAGAAAGAGGGAGGGAAAGAGAGAGATAGAACACCTTGTCAACATACTACTGACGTACATTCGCGTGAAGCAGTATGTCCTGTTAGCGTGTATGTGTGTGTGTGTTAGTGTGTGCATCTGACGTGAACTTCAATCAGACCGAAACAAGTGCTGCGGACATAAAGGAGGAATATCATTCCATATTCTTAGAAAATGATATTTGAAAAGAAAGAAAAAAAGTATTTTGTGGATTATAAAAATTGAAAATAAAAAAAGCAAAACATTTGAAGACATTGGCCTTTACAACTTTCATTTCTTCCTTTTTGCGCCTTCAAAATACTATATTTCAAATAATATTTTCAATCTTAACTATACGATATAGTATATTTATACTTATTATATCTTTAATTATTCAAAAGTCAAAAGGGAGAACGTATAGAAGTCAAGAAGGCAGTCAGAGCAGCCACACCAATACCTTCTTCATCAACAATTGAAAAGATGAGAATTTTTAATTTTTCTTTTTTTCTTTTTTTGTTTCAAATCGAATGTGCAACCGCTCTCTGCAGAATGAAAGACGTAAAATGATTATTTGCAAACACATATAGACGTTTATAGACATTGACTCTCTCCACTCTCTCACGGACTATTACGTGTGAACGTCATATTCCACGTGCTTCACGTGAAACACATTCAATTGAATGACGTATAGCTTAGTCGGACAGCTATAAGCTGAATGGCATTATGTTGATGGCGATTGTCTTCATCCATATTGCTCCCGATGATCTAATTTCTTCGTTTTGCTCATTCAAAATGCTCGTTTGTCACCTTTTTTTGTCAATTTCTGTTTGCATTTTTGTCTTTTGGGCTTGAAAGAT